CAGCCTAGCCAGTCTGGTTCCGTTGTGTCTTGAATACAACCTACTTGTACTTGGCCTGAAGCGTACCTAGTACCCAATATGATTGTACCCAATATGACTGCTGCTGGTGTTGTGGATTTGTACCCGTATCATTTGTGGACATGTTGAATCTCTCGTCATTTCATTATGTTCCTATGATTCCCCGTTAATCAACCGTGTGCTCTCTGTCCGCTTTGCCAGAGATCCAGTATGGCTGGCAATGTGACTGTGCAGTATGCAAATGTAAACTGAGAGATTCACAGAGAATGTTAGAACTAAGTTAACCCTTTTAGCGTTCGGCTCCTATTCCCAATCGAACACAGGTGAGTAACCGGTCAAGTGCTCATGAGTACACTAGTCACCTAGTCACCATGCCAGCAGGCTACAACTTTCACAGCGTTCCTGTCACTCGAGTTGAACCTTTGAACCTTTGAGTTGAAACTTGGTGTGAAAGGTGTAGCCTGCAGGCATAGTGACCGGGCGACTGGTGTACGCATGCTCACGTGACCGCTTACTCACCCGTGTTCGATTGGGAATAAGGACCGAACGCTGCATCGCAGACTTTTCGGACCAAAACCACTCAGCTTCCAAAAAACTGCAACATATGGACCAATCGTGGTCATCCGTGCTTTTATGAGAATGAAATGGCGCTTTTAGTGACTTTTTGCATACAAATTCCCATCTAGTAGGGCACAGTCACCCAGTCTCGGTGGAAGGGCGGGAGTTCGATTGGGAATAAAGGAGGAGGGGAGCGTCTCAGCTTCCTCGGACCAAGACCATTCGCCTCAGCACCCCGAAGACTAGAACTGGTGAAAATTTGATTTTAGGATTTCCCCTGATTTTCCCTGGTGAAAAATGTATTACACAGAATGGTAGGTTTGGAGCCAGCAACGTGAGGCTTTGTGTGTGTGTGTGTGTGTGTGTGTGTGTGTGTGTGTGTGTATGTGTGTGTGTGTGTGTATGTGTGTGTGTGTGTGTGTGTGTGTGTGTGTGTGTGTGTGTGTGTGTGTGTGTGTCCCATATGGTGCAGTGGTATGTGCAGCGATTTCCAATCGATAGGTTGCGGGTTCGATTCCCGACGATTATGGTCACACACGTCTTTCTTCTCTTTCTCAGACTCTTCCTGACTTTTCTTTCATTCTCCTGGGTGGTTACCAACAGCCAGTGCATGCCGGAGTATGTGGTGTGATGTGTGTGTGGGAAAAAAAGAAAAAAAAAGAAAAAAGAAAAAGACCAAAAATAGGGATTCACTGGCCAGAAAAAGTCACTTCAAATAGCTGTATGGTGTAGACCAGGCTGAATACTGACGGTCAATTCTTCAGCCTTGCAAGCTGTTGAATGGTGCAATCCCAGCACAAGTTGCTATGGCTTCTGCCGTAGCATTGCTATCATCGCCTCCGGCGATGGGCGTCAAAGGTCAAAGGTCAAGGTGTGTGTGTGTGTGTGCGTGCGTGCGTGCGTGTGTGTTGTTTCAGGACTCAGTGCATTTATGACGGCCTCTTTGTGTATGCTTTGTCCCTGTAGGGTCTGTGAAGGTTACTCTGCTGGTGGACCGGCCGTGAGCTGCTATGTACCCACAACGAGCTGTATCAGTGAATGGTGTGTGCAGACCGCCACTCTACTGGGCGGTCGTATTGTTTCTGATCAAGTTTGTTCCGGTCTTCTAAGACCGTTTCTAGTTATGTTTCTTTTATGCCGTCTTGAGCTCTTGTCTGGCATTCTAACTGGTGTAGATAAGAATGAAATAAACTTTACTTTATCCTGTATTTTGCTAGAATATTCTCCTAGTGAAATGGTTGACGATGCAAGTTAGAGTATGATAAAATCCACACTGCACTGCACTGCTAGTTTGTATTTGCTATCTATCTATATCGTAAGCTTTGGTGCACGGAATTGTGATGCCTTTTGAGATACAGTTGGAGCTGCTCAGCTGCGCTGAGGACCTACCGGCTGGTGGTATCTTGATAATTTTAATTATTATGATTCTGTGGGTCTACACAGTACGTTGAGTGCACTCTTTACTCTGAGTCTACTGAGTTTTATGTTTCGAGTTTCAATACTAGAAGATATCCTTGACACACGTTTCTTTCTAGCAGAGCTTATAGTTTTGTTTTCGCTCTAGAGATCAGCCTGTGTTCTTTCACACCCGTAGTCAGCATAGAATTTCTAACTAACTGAGGAACTCAACGGCATGTTCACCTCTGAAAGTTGCATTGCCTGAGAATAGGCATATGGAGAGGTACTCGCATTGCAAGTAGTTTGTACCGACGTATAATATGGACTTGTACGGTATTGTTTTTCTTTTTCTTTTTTCGGATCGCTGTGTTTGGCGGCATCACACGGTTATCATGAATGTGAATTATGACAATGAGGAATACCTCATCAGTGCATCGGGAAGGTGGCTCACAGTACTTGCTCACTATGTTGAACTAATTATTACTTGGGCAATGGTATTGAGTGCAGCTAGCACAATGACAGTATGTACATTGTACACGTACACCGAAGAAGTGGGGAGTCTGCCTAGTACTTCAGAGCCTACATTAGACCAGTATTTTTCATGTACACTCAATTCACATTTGAGTCACCATGTATCATTGTATGCATTGGTATGCTGTGCTTGCCTCAAGTTACGGTGAAATTTTAGCCTGGCCGTTCTTTTGGGCGCCCGACAGTACTCGCCTCTTTTGGGTTCCTAAGAGACTTAGTTTTGAGAGTATGGGCCAGTCCTGAAAATTTGATGGAATGTTTTGTTTTGTTTTGTTTGGCAGTGAAGAGACCGTTGTTGGGGTTGGAGACGTGAATCGTAGTGTTGTGTCAGTGGTTGCGTTGGAGTTTAGGGAAAATTGGAAGTCTTTTCGTCTTGCAATATGGCTGCCCGTAGCCAACAAAATTATTTATATTTCACCCTGCACTTGTCATGGCTGATGTGAGATGTGAGAAAGAATCATACTGTACATATATGTTTCAGTGGTTGCCTTGGAGTTTAGGGAAAATTAGAAAGTCATTTGGGTGTAGCCGCTGCTGCAAGGAAAAGCAAAATTTAATATTCGTGGCGTTTGGTCCTTTTGAAGTTTTGTGTTATTTCGCCATACAAGATTCACCATAGCAACTGTTGTCCTAACCCCGCCTAGTACCATGGTTACTACATTCTAGTCTTGTTGAGAATGCAGAGACTCTGCGAATCTGACGCGGCCAGGGAGTCGTAAAAGCCCGGGAGAGGACACGGCACACATTCCTAGAAAACATCTTTGCCTCGCGCTGCCGGGGAACGCTGCCAGGGAACGGTGTTGCGAGGCAAGGAAATTATTATTTTCGAAAATTGTGATGTCTTCTTGAATTGGGACATTCTCCGATTTCTCTTAGAGCACGGAGACGATTGCTCCGTCGAGTCTTCTGATCTCTATTTTCATCCTCAATTCTTCCAGCTGCCTCACTCATTCTCTCTCAGTTTATCGAAGTTAATTTATTCTGAGGCGATGGAAATGCAAGATAAGTCCCTAATTGTACTTCACTTTTATTTGAGCCTTGGGGTGAACGAAATGAGATTTGTGGAAAATGACGCCACTTCCCGTGTTAGCCGCTGGTCGTATCATACAGCCCATATTCCATTGCAGGTGATGGGCGAACGTTCGTGTTGAGATCCGCTGAGCTTCCTCGTACTCGTGGAGTTGAATTTGTGGCAGAAATTGCACTGAATTGCAGTCAAATGGTTGTGAATGAAACGAGATTTGTGGAAAATGACGCCACTTCCCGTGTTAGCCGCTGGTCGTATCATACAGCCCATATTCCATTGCAGGTGATGGGCGAACGTTCGTGTTGAGATCCGCTGAGCTTCCTCGTACTCGCGGAGTTGAATTTGCGGCAGAAATTGCACTGAATTGCAGTCAAATGGTTGTGAATGAAACGAGATTAGTGGAAAATGACGCCACTTCCCGTGTTAGCCGCTGGTCGTATCATACAGCCCACATTCCATTGCAGGTGATGTGCGAACGTTCGTGTTGAGATTCGCTGAGCTTCCTCGTACTCGTGGATTTATGAATTTGTGTCAGAAATTGCACTGAAATTGCAGTCGCGTGGACTTCTGTGTGTGTGTTGTGAGTGAATCGCAACGGCTCCCTTCCTTCAGCATCGTCAAAACGCAACATAGAGCATTATTACGCACTCGTTCCATGATTCATGATATTGCCTGGATTCTTTTAAAAACAATCAATGTGTGTTCCCTAGATCCCTATCTATCTACATTGTACATGGTTACAGGTCGTTATTTATAAATCTTGATAATTTCAACACTTTTCTACTCGCATACTGACTTTAGCCGTTTAGGAAGCGGAAGGCTCAGCCTCCAGGTTAGCCAGAAAGGTTCTCAGTGAATCTAACTGAAGTCTTGGCGAGTGTACAAAAGGTAAACCTATCACTTGTACTTCATAACGGAATTGTGCACAAAAATGCGCACACACACACACACACACACAAACACTGTACAAACACACACAAAAGTACAAGCACATGTGCACATACACACGCCTCCCCCCCCCCCCCCCACACACACTCAACTCCCCACCCCCTGTACCATGTGTACTGAGTCTGACAGACAGACACACAATCATGTTTATGCTTCCTTCGCCACTAGTTTCGGCGGGGGGGGTCGGTGTAAACAACGAGTTGTAAAATATTGGTATTTTAGGACTCCCTGCCCTGAAGACGAGCACAGCGCCGTGGATCGAGCAGGTCCGGCCGCGCCGGCCTAGCGTGCTTCACTTAGTCTTTCTGGCCGAGGCAAACATCGTCCGCGTGCGCGCATCCCGTGTCCTCTCCCGGGCTTTTACGACTCCCTGGACGCGGCCAATGCATGCCCCCCCCCCGGCCAGAATGAACGCGCCAAACCAGCTCTGTGACTCTGTCCGTAACCATGGTAACGACCTTCGATCGGATCGATCCACCGGTACCATGGGCGGTAGCCCGGCTAGCCCCACTAGTGTACTTCCCAACGGCCCAAGCCGGCCTGGTCGCTACGGAAATCATCATTCTTTATTCATCATAGCTGTTCCCGTAGCGTCTTCACAGTCTGTACCTGGTGCGGTGTGTGTTTGGTAAAGACGCAGTTGTTACCGTTCATCTGCGAAGAAGAGGTACAGCTCTATTGTGTTTGATAGCAGTTTTGTACACTGTAGTCTCCTGGGCAGCATATCCTTGTCCCAGAACCAGAGAAAGTAGACCTGTTCAGTATCATCCACTAGTACATGTACTGGAGAAATCACTGTCGGTTCGTGTGTCCGTCGGTGACTAACGAAGTCTGGACGACCACGTAACATCGTTGTTTTCTCTCGAGTCAGCGTAATGGGTTGATGATAAGCCACTAGTGCGACTTGTGCTGGAAATACGAAGCTGCACTGTATCTGCGGCTATCCGCGGTGTTCACGGCAAGGTACAGTGCGAGCATAAGCTCAATAAAACTGCTATAACTATAAGCTAGATGGTGTCGTCTTTGAAACCTTCAAGCTGTACACTCAGTCATTGCCAGACATGCGAGATGGGTTGGAGATATTATTAGACACTATCTCATAGCATGTGACAAGCATAGCTAATGCAGAGACAGAATCCCCTGAGACAAGGGCGTTGAGCCAGCCACGGCAATAGTAAGCTTTATCCTATGTGGAGAATTTATTTAGATTTGAATGAGGTGAGAAAAATCCGTGGTAGTGGTACCCAGCAGTGTTGTACATCGAATTCATTCCAACGTACATGATTGTAGTACAACACGGTAGGGAAAATGACAAACGTAAATGCATTGTATAACATTGCGCTTCACAGAGGCCAGCGAACTTCTGGGGGAAGTTGACGCCATGCTAGAGCAGAGTTTTCACCATATCAGGCTTCTATGCTTTCCTCAAACTGTTGAATACTTTCCTATGTAACGTTACATGCATATCCATCTCTATTATGTCACTGAACCTAATATCTCTTGTCATACACACAGCGTTTACATAGAATGATAGTTTACAATGAATGCAGCGAATCGAATTTTCAGTATTTCACCTCTTTGGTTCTGGGTCTGATCTACTCACCCGCCCACCACAACTGCACCTTGATCCTACAGTTGCAGAGGGTGGTGGCGTTCCTGCGGATGCGGAAAATTCGTCCGAGTATCACGTGAACCATGAATATCTTTACCCATGATGTAGTGAAATGATTGTGTGTACATATGAACAGTAGTGGTGTAGAACAGAGGACTGTGTTGTAGGTGAAGTGTGTCTAGTTAGCCAAAAATGAACAGAATTATGTTAGTTTTACATACCGGTATGTGGCTATGGAGAACACGCAGTGACAGTGTAAGTGGTGGTGGTATGGATGCATGCATGATAGTTTTTGCACCATGCATATCGGTCTATGCCATGTGTGTGTGTGTGGGGGGGGGGGGGTAACATATGGGAGGTGAATACATATACCTGTATTGTGTTACACTGTACAGCCAGTCTTCTGTTGTATTGTCATCCATACTTGAATTCTCATTGAATCCATTATTCTATGATCAGAATATACAATCATATTCTGTTTTTTTTGTGTTTTTCTTTGTGTGTTTTGTATAACTTTGTGTTTAGAACGATGCCGTTTGACTTCTGGGATGATGTTGTGCTGCCAGGATGGCATGACATAGCTCAATGCAAGATTGCGCATCAATCAGTCAAGAATGGAGTCATGGCAACTGATGAACATCATCCACGTATCAGCAGAGATCCCATTCTGAAGAGACATGTGTTGGGTTCGAAGGACGACTACGCCATCGCTAATAGTAGTTCAGAAGAGGACAGGTTGGCCAGCTATGTTGCCTGGTTGATTACCTACAAGAGAGGACCATCAGGTGTCCAGAACTTCATTCAAGCCATCCAGTCTTCACCTTTCCCGTCCAATGGTGTTGTTGGTGGAGTGCTGGAGAGAATTTGGAAAGCTCGTAAGAATGATCATCCTGATGAAGATGTCAAGGATCCATGTACGTAAAAGATTGCCATATTGCAAGTCAGTTCTAACACTTACACCCAGTTTATTTAAGCAGGGGAGTAGTGCAATGATTTCATGGTATTTTGTATTGTAAACTTTCATACAGTGAAACCTGTCTAAGGCGACCACTCAAGGGACGAGAAAAAGTGGTCGCCGTTTCCAGGTGGTCTTCTTATCCAGGTTCAGTGGGTCACGTGACTCTATCCACATGTGCTACATCATTGTGATAAGTGCATCACAGTGCACACACGTACAGGTATGCTACTCTAGCACGACTCATGTGCCTGGGGTCCTTAGACCTGTCAAGCGTCGTGCATGCACCATGCACATCTACACTTCCTGCACTGACGTGTAGATCTACCATGCATGGTACACCATGCATGGTAGATCTACACTTCCTGCACTGACGTGTAGATCTACCATGCGTGGTACACCATGCAATGCATACTTTTACATGTACAGTCAGACCTCGCTTAACCGCACACATCTGTTTTCCACAAAAACATCCGGATAGGCGAGGTAACCGGATTACTGAACACACATACTGTACATGCATGTGGCATGTCAAAAGCAGTGACATCGTACATACATGTAGACAGGTCCTATGCAGTACAACTAGCGTGCCCAGTATGTAAAACAAGTGAGAAAAAGTGTGATGTTATGCTGGTGCATGTTACAACATTATACAAGATCATGCATTCTATTCTGTAGAGTGGAACTACAGTATATTCATAAAAAGATGGACTTCTAGCCTTTGGCTATAAATGGGTCACACCTTTTAGAATATTTTTCTGCACTCCCGTATGGAATCCTCTTCTAATTAGGTTTCTGAAGTCTATTTGCCCAAAAAGCAAGCCATAAGAAGAATAGGATTTCGGCCAGGTTTTGCCCAAAAGCATTGATTTGGGAGATATATCAAAATCCAGGCCGCTTGACCCCGCCTGCAACAGTGCATTGTGCGCTTCAAACCCAGTTCAGGCACCCCTTTTGGACCCGGTTTCAAATTTTCCAGCACTGCGCTGTGTACGATAATATCACGAAAATCGCCAAATAGGGGAGCTCGCCAGAGCCAGGGACCATCTTTTTTATGAATGGACTGTAGAGCCGGCATACCATCAATGGGAATGAAAAACATAGTTGAGCCGATGTAGGATAATTACGACTCATGCATTGTACCATCGTGTTACGGGTTTTAGTCAATACATGTCTGTACAAAAGTACTGAAATGAACATGATTGCACTCACTATAGTGTAATTGTGCTATGTAAGTTTAATAACGAGACGTGTAGATCTTTACTTGATCAACTGATGCCAAGTATTGTTTGGTGCAAAGATCCATCAATCTTTGTAACGCTACATGGAGTTTAGACTAAAACTGAGCATGTATGTCACATATGCTGTATCCAGTCAAATTATCAACCAATGCATTTGCAATACTCAAGGCTACGCGAAAGTTAAAAATTATTATTTGAAGTAAAGAAAAAAGGACCAAGAAACTACAAGTTACGCTATAATGTCCACTAACACCACCAGTTACACCAGTTACAGTTCCCCTCCTCGTGTTATTTCTATAACTTAGAACCTTCCAAGTTGGAAGGCCGTTGGAGTGCGCATCCAACTTGATGTGCTAGAGCTGTTGGCCAGTTAGTTGTAGAACGTCAGTACCGTCGATCAGTGTCGTGCAATGTTATCGCATGCCTGAGCTGATTGTTTCGTAAATGGCGGTGTGAGTGGACAATCTAACGTAACTTGTAGTTACTTGGTCCTTTTTTCTTTACTATAAATTTATCCTTGGCTCTCCACCCGAGTCCATTATTATTTGAGTGCACATTTTGCCTGAGTTCAAATGTAGTCTAAAAATATACTTCCTCCGCACCACCGAAATGTGCACTTATTTTTTTAAGAGCCTGTGAGCAATCATTCCTTTGACATTGGCAAAAGAGTACGTCAATAATCGGATCCAAGTATCTAGAAAGGGAAGACATCTTTCTTAGCCGACGCAGTTTGATGATGGCTCAAGCTAATGGCGACTCAAATCCTCTCCAATTAACTGTAATCAGCATTGAGTGACACAGACACACACACACAAAAAATGAGTCATACGATGTGTGAAAGTTTCAACTTCCGTGCTTCTGGGCTTTGCACGCAAAACCAGTTTGCGCAGCTATTGCACGCATGCCCGACATGTGGGCTCGTGCATGGAAAACCTGGACGCATTGCTGCGATCGCGAGGTCCTGTACGCACTAGCTGCTATCCGCGGAAGCCGGCGCTGTACTAGCCTGCAGCACGCAGTGTCAAATTGGAGTGCTTTTTGTTTCAAGATCCTGCGCTGTGAGTTCTCCATCTCCTGCCAAAGTCTGAACAAGTGAAATACCAGTAGCTCACATTATGTCATTGTTCCGTCTGGATCTGTAGAGCTGAAAGGCTAAAAATGAACCTTGACTACTGGTCAGAGTGCAGAGCTTGATTACCATGCAACTCTGAGTTGAGATCTATTTTTGTTCCAATGGAGTTCTGCTGAAATACTATGGAGAGGCTGGCTCGGGAAAAGTGCTCTGCTGGTCCTTATGCTGTGACGTGCTGTTGTTTAGAATTTGATGTTGTGCCCGTAGCCAATTTGTGATTGCTCTCACACCATACGAGAGTAGAAAAGCCTTCAGATTAGTCTTGCTAGGCAGATCGTGTCTCTCAAGTACATACTGATCCTGTCAGAAATAAGAATGTGTCCAGTTTAAGGTAACATGACAAACTTATCGCCGAAGTCGCACCAACTTCTTCATGACAAACTTATACTATGGAAAAGATCAGCGCACATTGCGGTGGGGTGGCAAAAGTATGAAGATGGCATTCAGACAAAGACAAAAAAGCGGCGACAAGTACGGAAAAGTGTGTACACTGGTGGGCCAGAAGACGGTGCAGCAGCACGTACAAAGGGGTGACACAAACACAGCAAAAACGCAGCAGCAGGCCGCAACAGAGTGACACAAACGCAGCAGTATGTACAACATACCTATTTGTATACAGCATATTATTTCCTAGTGTGCAGGTCAAATGCAGTCTTTGTTATGGTAGTACAGTGTATGTACAGTCTGTGTGGATATGGGTATACGTATAGCTCATGACATTCCATGCTCTGATCAATTGACACCAGTTGTTCAACACCAGCAACCATATAGCCCAACTCAACCTCTTGTGCTCAGCTGTGCCTTGCTATGCTTGTGCCACACCACGTGCACACACACACACACGGTGACACTGCATGCACACACAAACACACACACACACACACACACACCACGTGCACACACACACACACACACACACACACACACACACCACGTGCACAAACACACACCACATGCACCTTTTTTGACCTTTTGAGTTTTGACGCCCATCACCGAGGCGATGATAGCGATGCTACAACAGAAGCCATAGCAACTTGTGCTGGGATTACACCATTTAAAGGGGAAGTTAAGGCAAAAATTAAAATTTCACCAGTTGTAGTCTTCGGGGTGCTGAGTCGAATGGTCTTGGTCCCAGGAAGCTGAGACGCTCCCTTCCTACTTGAATCCCAATCGAACTCGCGCACTTCCACCGAAACTGGGTGACTGCGCCCTACAAGATGGGGATTTGTATGCAAAATGTCACTAAAAGCGCCATTTCGTTCTTATAAAAGCACGGATGACCGCGATTGGCCCATATGTTGTAGTCTTTTGGACGCTGAGTCGACTGGTTTTGGTCCGAAAAGGCTGCGATGCAGCGTTCCTCCTTTATTCCCAATCGAACATGGTTGAAAAAGTGGTCACGTGCTCCTGGGTGCCCAAATCACCTGGTCACCACGCCAGCAGGTGACAACTTTCACACCAAGGTTCAACTCGAGTGACAGGACTGCACCCAAAAAAGGTCAAACAGGCTAGTAAGTTGTACCCTGCAGGCACGGTGACCAGGTAACTGGCGTACGCAGGAGCACGTGACCGCTTGTTCAACCATGTTCGATTGGGAATAACGGCGGAACGCTGCATCGCAGCCTTTTCGGACCAAAACCAGTCGACTCAGCGTCCAAAAGACTACAACATATGGGCCAATCGCGGTCATCCGTGCTTTTATAAGAACGAAATGGCGCTTTTAGTGACATTTTGCATACAAATCCCCATCTCGTAGGGCGCAGTCACCCAGTTTCGGTGGAAGTGCGCGAGTTCGATTGGGATTCAAGTAGGAAGGGAGCGTCTCAGCTTCCTCGGACCACGACCATTCGACTCAGCACCCCGAAGACTACAACTGGTGAAATTTTAATTTTTGCCTTAACTTCCCCTTTAACAGCTTACAAGGCTGAAGAATTGACCGCCACTATTCTGAGCCTTGTCTACACCACACAGCTATTTGAAGAGGCCATTTCTGGCCAGTGAATCCCTCTGTGACTTTTTCGTTTTCGTTTTTTCCAGCACACATCACACCACATATTCCACCATGTACTGGCTGTTGGGACTGACCACCCAGGATTTTTCATACCACGTGCACACACACACACATACACACACACACACACACCTCAGACCTCAGACCTGCCCATCGGGGAAGCGATGATAGCGAACAGCTATGTTAGACATAGCAACTTGTGCTGGGATCACCATTCAACAGCTTGCAAGGCTGATGAATTGACCACCACTATTTTTAGCCTGGTATCCACCACACAGCTGTTTGAAGTGACTTTTTCTGGCCAGTGAATCCCTATTTTTCATTTTTCCATTTTCCATTTTTTTTCTACACACACACCACACCACATACTCCAGCATACACTGGCTGTTGGTAACCACCCAGGAGGAAAAAAAGACAGGAAGAGTCCAAAAAAAGAGAAGAAAGACGTGTGCGACCATAATCGTCGGGAATTGAACCCGCAACCTCTCGATTGGAAATCGACTGCACATACCACTGCACCACACGTGCACACACACACACACACATACACACACACACCAGACACACACCAGACGCACACACACACACACACACGCACACCACCACCACCACCACCACCACCACCACCACCACCACCACCACCACCACCATGTACCACACACACACACACACACACGCACGCACGCACGCACGCACGCACGCACGCACGCACGCACGCACGCACGCACACACACACACACACACACACACACACCTCAGACCTCAGAACTACCCATCGCGGAAGCGATGATAGCGAACAGCTTTATTAGAAATAGCAACTTATGCTGGAATTACACCATTCAACAGCTTTCAAGGCTGATGAATTGACCGCCACTAATTTTAGCCTGGTATCCACCACACAGCTGATTGAAGTGGTGTATTCTGGCCAGTTAATCTCTATTTTTCATTTTTCAATTTTTTCATTTTTTTGGACACACACGCCACACCACATCTCCTGACATACACTGGCTGTTGGTAGCCACCCAGGATTATGAAAGAAGAGCTAGGAGAATGAGAAAGAGAAGAAAGACGTGTGCAACCATAATCGTCGGGAATTGAACCCGCAACCTCTGGATTGGAAATCGACTGCACAGTCCACTGTACCATATGGGACACACAGGGACACACACAAATACACACGCACGCACACACATGCGTGTATACATAAAGTCTGATGCAAACGCCCACGTCGCAGCAAACGCTCGCCCCAGCGGGTCCATACTATTCTTTTTCAGGTCAGTTTAGTTGTAGAAAACTGGCATGAAGGTCGAATGCGTACAAGAACGACTGTAATGCCTACACAGTGCCTATGTCTTACCAGGATCCTGTGCAAAAGCGATTGTCATTATCTTGCTGCAAAGAAACACTTCGGTCGGGATTTCCTTTGCATCCGATAAATGAGTCGTCTTTGTTATTGTAGTTCGTTCTCCTGATGATGGGCCAGGCCGGAAAATTGGGCGTACAGTAATGTAAAATGAAATTTGAATTTGAATCGCAGTGAAGAGACCGTTTTTGGAGTTTGGAGTCGAGAAGCGAAGTTTCCTAAAAGTTCGTTCTCCATTATTTCGGTTTTCAAATCATGAAATTTCTGCAGTGCCATGAATGTGACAATGTTGAGCTTTCAGAACGAAACGGTGATTGTTCTGATGAAGCGTCATTCGACGACTTGACCGGTCGCAGTATTGCAGTTGCAAGTCGAACAGGGGAGATGTCACAAAAGCTACACCTACAAAGTCGCTACCAACTTGTTGAAAACTCTAAAGTGCTCGAGACAAACCCTTGCCTTTGCGTGTTGCGTGATTTGGAAATGATGGCTTGAAACACCGTCAGAAGGATATTTGGTTCCTGCAATACTCTGCTCTTTGCTACCTTGTTATTCGGAAGAAAAACCCATTTGGATTTGCGAAATACAACAAACAACATCATAAAATCACTACGAGCTAGCTCGTAGCGCGTGCCCAAAGAGACTTTGAAACCAGGCAAGTGGACATTGTTTACCGTAGCAAAGTGCTCTTCGCGCCACGGTGTCAGATGCACTTTCGTACAGTGGGAGTGACAGTGCATGGGGTCAGTGCGTACAGGCCAGCAGATCTTGCACAATGCGGTGGGCATTTGCAGGGGACTTTACGGTACACAAACACACACACACACATACACACGAAAAAAAACACACACACTATTGGACCAGACATAGTGGTTACAACAATGTGTCCTGTTTTTCTTGTGTATTATTTGCTGTCTGTAGATTTCATCACAAGGGTTGTCAAGAGCAACCTACCACAGATCATCGCCAAACTAGCGACTGTACCAGATATAGTGCTCACTGAAGTATTTGGATATGCCGACGTGGATGAAGAGCGTATCAGCACTTATCGAACGGCATGTGAGGTGGCCGGTCATGTACGTGATCTTCCACTTTGCTGTCAATCAGCAATTGGGGGGTGTTTACTGTACCCAGTGGGCAGCTTTGTGCTTCTCTTTTATGAGTTGCACCGTCCTGAGCTCACTCAACGACTGGATAAAGATTTCCGGATCAAGATCGACCATGAGGCAGGATGTGATGGGAGTAGTCTTGTCCAACTGTTGACTTTGGCTATTGATTCACAGAGAGAGGGTAAGTGACAATTTGAAGACTGCGATGCAAGTTAAAGAATGTCCATGATGGTGAATCCTAGTCAATGGATGATGCTGGTCTTTGTCTTAGTGTGCATACCAGCTGAAGGTTATATGAAAATACAGTTGTCTTCTACCAGCAGAAATGTTCTAAATGATATTTGCTGTTTTCCAATTTGTTTAGTATACGTTATGTTCTAGCCTTGGTTTCCATTGTTACGAAAATGAGGAATTTTATTGAAATCGTCCATACCTAATCATAATGGCACTTTCTCCCGGTGACTTGACTTGACACTTGACTGACTCACAACCGCCATCCACTGAGATCACACAAGAAGTCCATTGAACTTTCGAAGTCGGCGGGAAAGCGCTAGCTTCAGTGTTGGGAGCAACCCACGTTCTGATGAAATGATCGCCGAAGTCGCAAACTCTATTTCATAGCATATAAAGTAGCCTAAAACCTGCCTGTCATGTTTGTGGAAATCACCAGCATTTTGTTTAGTAATGTCATAATGCCACTTTTCTGAACTTATGTACCGGCAATCCAAGCAATACTCGTAGAGAATTCTATTGTGATTCTTCTGATCTCACCTTCATATACAGCAGGTACCGCAATGTCAATGATGAATGATGAAGGTGTGATTGCAGTGAGAGAAGGACCAGGAGATGCAGTTGAAGGTCAGTACTGTCCTTGTAGTGGTCCTCCATTAATGCACGGCCCTATTTTAGGGGAATGCATACTCAAAGTTTGTCAGCCCGAGCCTTACGCTCGCATTCCAGCGCAAGCTTTACAGCGTCCTGTACATTAGGACTGCCTTTCTCAGCGCGGCGAAAACTGAGCGTCCATAGAGTTAACGAGGAAATTCTCAGCCTGACAATAAATCCCACTGAAAATTTGAGCGCTGTGGAAATCAGTGCCCACAAAGTCAGTACAAAATACACCAGTGGTAGAGAAAGGCGCGCGGTTAAAGGGGAAATTAAGCCTAAAATCAAAATTTCACCAGGTGTAGTCTTCAGGGTGCTGAGTCGAATGGTCTTGGTCCGAGGAAGCTGAGACACTCCTTTCCTTCTTTATTCCCAATCGAACTGGTTTTGGTCCGAAAAGGCTGCGATGTAGCGTTCGGCCCCTATTCCCAATCGAACATGGCTGAACAAGCGGTCACGTACTCCTGCGTGCACCAGTCACCTGGTCACCGTGCCTGCAGGCTACAACTTACCGCATGTTTGGCCGAGTTTCTGTCACTCGAGTTGAACCTTTGAACTTTTGAGTTGAACCTTGGTGCGAAAGTTGTCGCCTACTGGCGTGGTGACTAGGTGACTGGTGTACGCAGGAGCACGTGACCGCTTGTTCAACCATGTTCGTTTGGAAATAAGGGCCCAACGCTGCAGCGCAGCCTTTTCGGACCAAAACCAGTCGACTCAGCGTCCAGAAGACTACCACATATGGGCCAATCGCGGTCATCCGTGCTTTTATAAGAACAAAATGGCGCTCTTAGTGACATTTTGCATACAAATCCTCATCTAGTAGGGCGCAGTCACCCAGTTTCGGTGGAAGTGCACGAGTTCGATTGGGAAGAAAGGAGGAAGGGAGCGTCTCAGCTTCCTCGGACCAAGACCAATCGACTCAGCACCCCGAAGACTACAACTTGTGAAAATTTGATTTTAGGCGTGACTTCCTCTTTAAGTTAGTACAACCGGATTCAGCCGAGTGATCATTGTTATTTGTGTGTCACACTCAGTGGCATAACACACTTTATGGCCGGTAAGACCAGGGTCGTACCTTGTTTTCATCCGACGTAGTATGCCCAATTCATCCAAAAAGCAGTGAAAATTTCATAGGATCATGCACTTCTACTTCGAAGTACATGCACTTGTACATAACTTACACTGTGCACATAACTCACGGAGTTGACTTGGAGTAGACCAGGGTATGCATATGTGCCCATTATTGGTACTGTTCTGTCTGGACCCATGGTTGCCGCCAGTATACAAGTACTTGTACACCGAGTATCGGGTAGTTGTATTTAGTGCTGTGCACTACTTGTATGTGCTATGTAGTTACATTGACTGTTGCTGCAGTGTCCATGTAAACATGGTAGTCTACATGTACATGTATGTCTTCAGCTCACACACACACACACACACACACACACACACACACACACACACACACACACACACACACACACACACACACACACACACACACACACACACACACACACACACTACTACTACTACTACTACTACTAGCAGCATGACTGCCCAGAGGGGCAAGTGTCACCCCTATGGAAAGGGGACCAGAAAACGGGACACGGATCACAAGCAGGACCGCGAATGTCTGGCTAGGTCCTGCTGCCGGCGGAAATTGCGTTTACAACGTGGGCAGATGAGGGGCAGACCTGCTCTCTCAGCAGCAGATGGTCTCGCACCACGATTGCAGTTGTGACGCTTGAACCCGGCCGCAGAACGGAAGCATCGCTGACATGTTGGGCAGTGCTGCTGGCAACAAGCTGAAAGTGACACAGACAGACTGACTGTTGGTGTAGGAGAACTCGTGACAGGCTGGCATCGATGAACAGAGTAGCCACCCTTGCTGCGGTACCACCTCTGGCAGTTCTGGCATTGCACTGATCCACGCTGGAGCTGGATGGGAAGCCGTCTCTGAGTGGTGCACTTGTGCCGCGTCCTATCTGAGACCCGTGAGAAGTTCCGGTCACACACTGCGCAATGCACAGACTTGGGCATGGTGGAGCGCGACTGAGGGGCAACCCGTACTTCCCTCCACTGTTGGCGGTCCTGAGCAAGGATGAACCACTGAGATGGCTGTTGCAGTGCAACCTTGAGGTCGGTCATCACCGTGTCTTTCCACCGTCGCCGGGGACCACAAAACGGCCGAGGCACAGGCAGCCACCCAAAGAGGAGTTGGAGGGGGGTGCGATCCTCATCCATACGCGCAACGTGCCCAGTCCATTCCAGACGCCGATTGCGGAGGCGTGTAGACATCAGTACTGGGTCTCCCCAACGGTTCCGCAGGTCTGTGGATGACAGCCGCTCGGACCACTGACGAGGCTTGGTGATGCTGAGGACAGTCCGGATGCATTGATGGTGGAATTTATCCAAACTTCTAATATCCCGTTGGAGTGGGGTCCAACACTCTCCGCCATACAGTAATATTGAGGAAACGCAGGCCATGTACAGGTGGCGTTTACTAGAGAGGGACAGAGATCTGTCAGTGAATACCTTCTGGAGGGCTCCGAAGGCCTTTGAGGCTTCGGCAATACGGCGCTTGATGTCGGATGAAGAACGACTGTCAGGGGTCACTATGGATCCTAGGTACGTGAACTTCGGCACGGCTTCGATAGTGCCAAGGGGGAGAACGATGTCAGCCGAGTCTTCAGCAGAGACCCATGGCCCGCCGTCATGATCTTCGTCTTGGCGATGCTCACAGTTAGTCCAAATTCTCGGGCAACACTACAGAAGAGCTCCACACCAAACTCAGCATCACTACGGCATTCAGACACGAGAACGGCATCATCAGCATACTCCAGGTCACTAACAGACAGTGACTCGCCAGCCCTGCGCGATGATGAGCGGGGGTAGAGTTGGCCATCGATGGAAAACTGGATGCTGACAGAGTGACTACGACCTGCATCCTTTAGCCGGGCACGCCATGTCTCAACAACCGCCCCGAAGTACAGGTTAAAGAGAACGGGTGCCATGACACATCCTTGTCGGAGACCATTAACCACAGGGAACTCATCATCGCTGCTCTCTGGGTGGCCTTGGGCCGACTTGGGGTCCCGCAACAGCTAGTGGCCCTGATTAAGGCTTTCCACACCTCTACCTCTGCCTCGGTCCGAGTTGGCAACTCCACCTCTGATGAGTTCCCTGTGGTTAATGGTCTCCGACAAGGATGTGTCATGGCACACACACACACACACACACACACACACACACACACACACACACACACACACACACACACACACACACACACACACACACACACACACACACACACAATACTACTACTACTATAGCATGACTGCCCATTGGGCAATGTCACCCCCGGAGGGGGCCAGAGTTTGGAGTGCACCGTCATTGGCAGGACTTCTGGTGCCTCGTCAAATCTTGCTGTCGTCGGAAACGTTTCGGGCAATGCATGCAGATCAGCGGCAGTGATTCCCTATCGGCTGCAGCAAGACGTTTTCCACGGTTGCAGTTATGGCGGTTAAAACCAGCCCGGGACTTGAAGCAGCGATTGCAGCGTTGACAATGCTGGAAGCAGCAACTAGCGAGAGACGCCGTCAATGCCGTATCTGCATGTTCAGGGAGTGCAGGCTGGCAGCGATGAACTGCAAGCCCACCCTTACTACAGAACCATCGGCAGCAACTGACGCACTGTGCTGAACCACGCTGTTGGTGGACGGGAAGTTGGCGCTCAGCCAAACACTTGTGCCGTGCCTTGTCTTGAGGACGAGAGAAAGCCCGGTTGCAAGATGAGCAGAGTACGGATTTCTCTACTGCCCGTGGAGGCTGAAAAACCAGAACCTGCTCTCGCCAAGCTGACCGGTCTTGTGCGCAATCAAACCGGTTTGGAATGGACTTCGTGTCAGTAGCCACAACGTCTCTCCACCTACGCCTGGGACCGCAGAAGGGGCGCGCAGCCAACAAACGACCAAACAACAGCTGCAATGGGACACGGTCCTCCGACATCCGAGCCACATGACCAAGCCACTCTAAACGACGATGGCGCATCTTAACAGAGAGTGGCACTGGGTCACCCCAGTGACGACGTAACTGCGCAGACGTGATGCGATCGGATTGCTGCTGACTGCGAGGGATGGCTAATATTGTGCGGATGCAGCGATGATGGAAGGCATCCAAACGTCTACTATCAGCTTTCAAGGGCGTCCAGCACTCACTGCAATACAGCAAAATGGACAAGACACAGGCCACGTATAGCTTTCGCTTACTGACTAATGACAGCGAGCGATCTGACAAGACTGGAAGAAGAGCTCCAAAGGCTTTGGAAGCCTCAGCTATGCGGCGACTGTTGTCAGTAGAGGAGCGGGCATCCGGTGTCACGACGGACCCCAGATAAATGAAGGATGGAACGTGCTCCACAGTATCACCGTTGACGTTCATATCGGCTCTATCAGGCATGTTGACTTGGCTACCTGCCACGAGAAATTTCGTTTTAGCAGCGTTGACGCAGAGGCCAAAGGAAGAGGCAACCGTGCAGAATGTTTCAAGGCACTTCTCAGCACCAGGGCGGTCTTCAGCGAGCAAGACCGCGTCATCTGCGTACTCAATGTCGTTGATGATTGCGGCAGTAGACTGGCGAGCGGGCTTAGAGAAAAGGTTGCCATTGATGCTACATTGGATGGGGATGCCAGGTGGATGGTCGCTGTCCTGCATCACTTGTGCCCACCGCTCAAGCACAACACCGAAGTACAGATTAAAATGTACTGGGGCCATCACACAGCCTTGACGGAGGCCATTGTTGACCGCAAACGACTCGGTAGTGCTGGCACCGACGCGCACAGCTGCCTGCATGCTCTCGTGGAACGATTGGATTAGATTGAGGAGCCCTTCAGGAATGCCTAGCCTCCCCAATGCTAGCCAGAGTGCTTGGCGTGGTACGGAATCATATGCTTTCTTCAGGTCTACGAAGACACAGAACAGCTTCTGACGGTGCTCGTACGATTTCTCGATGAGCTGGCGAATGGAAAAGATGGCATCAGCGCAGCCGCGACCAGGGCGAAAGCCACACTGGGATTCTGGAAGTTCTTGTTCCGCAACAAGTTGGAGACGGTCCTGAATGAGACGGCCACAAACCTTGCCAGCGACATCTAGGAGGGCAATGCCGCGCCAGTTGTTGCAGTTGGTCAAGTCACCCTTTTTGGGAATCGGGACGAGTTGGGCATCCCGCCAATCCTGGGGAACCGTTCCGTTGGTCCATGCAGTGTGAATAACATCAAGCAGAGCCTCAAGCTTTAAGCAGTTCAGGTGCAATTCTAGATTAGCCAGGAGCCTTGCAATTAGCCAGCTGGCGTATAGCCATAGTGAGGTCCTCTAGCGAGGGAAGTTGGCCGAGTGACTCATCAACTTCACGCTGCTCAATGTGGTCAAAGATGGTAGCATCGAAGGTGCTGCGAACGTTCAATAGACGGGCAAAATGCTGCAGCCAGCATTTCGCTTGCCCCCCCCTGGGAGCTACAGATAACTCCGTCACTACCACGGATGGATGGGATGGAGATAGGTGATAATCCCGAATAGCACTTCTGTATATCACGGATTGCAGACCATGCGTGCTTGCCACTAAACCGACTTGACTCAACCACATTAGCTTTACGTCCAATCCACTCACTCTTTGCATTACGCACGGCGGCTCTGCACTTGCCACGAGCCTCGACAAAGCGACGCCTGTCAGCGTCAGAACCAGAGGCGAGCCATTTGCGATGTAAGGCATTGCGGCTATCCAGCATAGGTGCAAGAACATCAGCACACGCTTCAAACCAATCAGGCTGGCGACGACGTGGACGGCCAAGATGCTTCTCAGCGCTGGTGACGATAGCAGATTTGACGGCAGACCATTTGTCCTCAACGCAGCCATCATGATTCCAGGATCGTAACTCTGACGCAACAGACGTCACATATTGCTCACGAGTTTTACAGGTTGCAGCTCTCTGCGCTTCCGTCATGCAGGAGTGTTTGACAAGTTGTTGCACATCAAACTTGACAGGTCTTTTTGCACGCTTGTGGCAAGCAGATGAGCGGATGCGGTATGTGAGACACACAAGGTTGTGATCTGTACTACACTCAGCTCCCCTGATGACATGGCAATCCGTGCAGTTGGACAGGTCTTGTTCCCGGACCATTGCATAGTCGATGCAGTGCCACCGCTTCGAGCGGGGATGTTGCCAGGTACACTTGTGGATGTTGCACGCTAAAAACTGGAGAAGCTCAGCGCCAGCCTCATTGACAGTGCCAACACCATGTGGGCCACGTGTTCCATACCAGCCATCGTCACAGATTTCAGCTCCAACTCTAGCGTTGAAGTCTCCCAAGATTATCAAGGAGTCCTGGGTGGGTACGGACAGAATAACTTCCTGAAGAGAGTCAAAGAAATCGTTCTTTGCATCGCGACTGGACCGGAAAGTCGGTGCGTAGCACACCACGACGTGGACCCAAATGTCACCGAACTTTAGCTTGCAGCGTGCGACACGCGATGAGACAGCAGACCACTGATTTCCCCCTGCTACGAACGCTTGCTGTGCGCGTCCGCGTAGTACGACTCCAACTCCTTCGCCTCGTTTGAAATCGTCCGTTGGGATGGCGCGACCTGACGTGAGAACAATTGCATCCTCGACACGGAATATATCTTTACCAAACCACTTCGACTCCTGGAATCCAGCCACTTCTATTTCGTACCGACGAAGTTCACTGACAACGATGTTGATTTTCTTGTCTTCCACGACGCGCTTTCCACGAGCAGCAGTTAAAACCGGGCCATCGATGTTCACTAAAGTCCTGACGTTTCACGAAGCAAATTTGACAAGAGCACCAGCTGGGCGCCTCCGACGGGTGCCTCCAAACTCTGGCTGCTTTGAAGCTGAAACTCTACACATCCGAGGGGTAGCTAGCCCACTGCGGATGGAGGACTACGGACGACGCGACAGTGACAATATCAAATTCAAATAATTGTCCTGTAAGTCACCTCGTTGGATCCGCTGCCCTAAATTCAAAAGGTCTACACTTGACACGCCAGGGGCTCTCCTAGCAAGCTAGGAGAGCCCTGAGTGTACCTACGCTGCTTCGGAGGCTCTAACTACTATAGTCTCAGCAAATAGAAAAATTCCGGAGCTAGAAAAATTCAAACTGTCCCCCAAGAAGACAGTCAGTCACACACACACACACACACACACACACACACACACACACGCACGCACGCACGCACACACACACACACACACACACACACACACTCACACACACACACTCACACACACACACACACACACACTCACAGAGTCACAAAGACAGTATACTATGCAACGAACACCTAGCCTGCAGGATACCAGTTAATCAGCTATGGTAGATGTATGAGATGTTGACATGTCATGTCGGCATGGAGACGGCCTTTCCATGGTAACTGGAGCTGTGAAAGAACTCAGTTCTGATTTGACTAGCTTACTTTTCTGTTGTGGTGAAACAATGTCAGTATGAAAGGGAGGACGGCCTATGCATTGTAACTGGAGCTGCTGAAGAACTGTCTGCTTGATGTACTTAGTTTTCTGTTGTGGTGAATCAATGGCAGTATGAAAGGGAGGAATGCCCCACATAATCAAATTATAGACCTGAGAAATGTTGCAGAGCATGTGATTTCAGCAGACGTGTTACATGATTGGCAGGTACTGGTTTGAACAGTGCTAGGATAAGAAGTGCCATGGAAACATTTTGCACTGACACTCAGTGCATGACCACAGATACGTAGCGTGCAGATAATGTGGTGCAACTTCAAGAGATTCAGTACTGAGACAATATGCACGTTGTACAGATGTATGAAGTTCTGTACTAAGGTCGTAGGTGTGTACAGACCCGGCTGGGTGTTCATTGTGTGCTATATATGCGCATTTGACCAATTTCAGCCTCATAATTTGTAGCAAACAATCGCTTTTCCAGCTTCTTCACTTTGGTTAGAACTAATAACTAGCTAGATCTTTGTCAGAAAAAGGTTTTCGCAAGAAATGCCTTCAGGGCCCATTTCTTAGTGGAAATAGCAGTAAACACAATAGGGTCCTGCACATTCAACACTCAACCGGGTCTACAGGATTCTACGAGATCCTACGGGATTTCGTGCATCTGTACAACGTGCATAAGGCTCATACCATCATCCTCTTCTAAGGTTTCATTTGCTTAAATTCACAGCAGTCAGTTACATTCCAATGAAATTCTTGTGCTCAAATGGTCCTGCTAAACTGTTCTTGTTGAAATTCTGGTGCTGAAATAGGATTATTCTGGGTGTTGTAGAGTAGCTAAACCCAATTCATCTTGAACATCCTTCCCATTTTCTTCAATAAATTCTTCCTCATATCTATGTTGTCTGAGCCCCCGCGACCAGTCAGACAGAGCAACGAATTGTTCGGGTTGATACGGTTTACTTGGCCTCAAACGACGAATAAAGGGGACAAAGGAAAGGAGCAGGGCTCAGGAGGACAACGGAAACGATAAGAGTAACAAAAGGGCAGAAAACCACGAGAGAGAGAATAAAACGGACCCAACATGAGGAGCTGCGACGACTACAAACGGAAGACCAGGAAAACGGCGCAGGGCCACAAGTTATAACCCAAACGGATCCAGGCACGAACCCAGGCACAGAGCCAGGCACGTACCCAGGCACGGACACGTAATCTTAGCAGTAACCAGGCAAAAAGCGTGCAGACAGCATGCAATCAGCGTGTGAACAGCGTGCAGCTAAACTACGTACAACATCTACATCACGTGTATTGTGCTTTGTTCTGGTGTATGTGTATTGTGCAGCTGATAATGGCCAGTACGCAGCAGCACTAAGTGAGCTGATCAAGGAAGGTGTCCAGCTGATACCGTACGGGCGCCTGATAATGTGCGGGCCGGGCCGCACAGGCAAGACCAGCTTCCTGCGATCCCTCCTGCGTCAAGCATTCATGTCAAAGGTCGATAGTACCATCGGTGTGGAGCTGGAGAAGGTGATATGCACGATCGAGAAGCAAGGGTTAAAGTATGTCTGGAAGCAAGCTGAAGATTCTTACCAGCAGCAGTTGGCCCTGACGCACAGAGCTGTTGGACAAGAACACAGGAAGAAAGAGATAGTAGCAGCACTGAGACAACAAGGTGTGGAGATCCCAAAGAACACCAGGTCCACATCCTCCATGCCATCAACACCCGTGACATCACCATCCGCTGTGATTGAGACTGAGCAAGCAGATACAGCCAGTGTGTGTGAATCTGCTGTCAGCCAACGTGATGAAGCCACCCACACCGGGTACTCTGGTCAATCAGCTACCAGTTCATCTGAAACCATGGACTCTCAGAATGTGTCCACTGCATCCAAGCCGGAGGAGGTCTCAACCATGAGTGTAGAACAGGTAGCAACAGCAGAGCAAGATGTGCAGCAGCTACAGACGGAGATCAACTCAGCAACGCAGAAGTTTGAAGGCTTCATTGAAGATCTGAAGAAGGGCAAAAGTGAAGTTTTCACTGCAGAGCATCTGAAAAACTTGACATTTATGGACGTCTGGGACTTTGCGGGTCAGAAGCTGTTTGCCGCGATCCAACACATGGTCCTGGCTTGTGACCGATGTGCGTATGCTGTTGTGTTCGATGCGTCAAAGAAGCTCCAGGACAGAGCAAAGCCGACGTTTGGTGTGGACGGTGAGGAACGGCCGCTTTCCAACAACCTGGAGCAGACCAACTTTGATGTGATGGAGACGTGGTTCAACGCTATCCACGAGGTTATTGGAGACAGCGACAACGTACCGGTGTTTGCCATTGGCACACATGTGGACAACTTACCAAAGAAGCCAGAAGCAAGGATGAAGGCAACTGAAGAGATAAAGAAGTACATCTTGGCCAATTCAGAGGGTAAGGCCTATGCCAACAACATCGACAAGGTGGTATTTGTGGACAACACACGAGCTGGCAAGGATCCGGAAGACCCAGCAGTTGTTCAGCTACGGCAAGACATCGTCCAGCAGCTGCAGCATCAGTTTAGCGCTCCCATTCCACTTCGTTGGCTTCCTGTAACAATCTCCATTGGGCACATTGCAAAATCATTTGAACGACCATGGTTATCTGTTGACGAGCTACGTCGCTTGGCCATTGCTGTTGGTAGCATCTCCAGTGAGGATTCGGAGTCCGATTTCCAGGAGATGGTGAAGTTCCACCATGGTCTTGGTCATTTGCTTCGTTTTGTTCACAATGCCCGTCTTCGTGATCGTGTGATCATTGACATCCACTGGGTTCTGAAGACCATGTCACTGCTCTTTTGTCCTGAGCCAAAGGATATGCAGAGCAAGCGTCTACGTCCACAATACGACTTGCTGACTCAGGATGGCATCCTCCTGGAAAGTCTTGCCATGCACCGCTGGTCACAGCACAATCGTATGACATCGCGCTACACGGCCACAGAAGAACAGCGCAATTTCCTGTTTGAGATGGGTGAGCACTTTGCCCTATTCTACAACACCAAGACATCTGTGAGCGTGCCTGGTCAGAGAAAGGAGGTGGTGACAACTCGCAAGTTCTTTGTACCAGCACTAGTGGAGCGAGTTGCACGTCTTCAAGATGAATTGAGCAAAGGCAAGCCAAGTTCAGCTATGTACCTTTACAGTGGTGCAGATCGTTACTTTCCACAAACCCTGTTCTGGTGTGCTGTTGTGAGGTGTATGCAACGCTACAGTCCAAAGGTGGATCCCATCCTCTATCACACATCGGCACGTATTCTGGTGAAGGATCGCTTCTGGCTTGTCATGCAGTATTTCCAGCATGGCATTCGCCTGTCACTGGAGATTCCCGTCGCGGCTGGCACAACGAAGTCTTCTTCTACCGATGCTGTTACTCGCGTGGCAAATTCAGTTGGCTCTCCTGGCGTTGGTACTGCAGCAAGCGAGGATGATTCCGCTGCAGTCAAGCTTTGTCATGAGCTTCTACCATACCTGGAGTCGGAGCTTGACAATCTGAAGGCATTCTCGCTGACTCATGTGAAGTTTAGCAGAGCTGTTCGCTGTCCATGCTCGTTCAGTCGAGATGCGTGTCGCAAGCACAAGAAGAAGGGTTGTGCAGAGATTGGCTGTCAGCACTTTGCTCCACTGGTGGAGGGATTGCGTCCACGTTGTACCATCGGAGGACGCCCAGAAGTGGATATCAGTGATGTACGGCAATACTGGCCATGCTTTGCCAAAGATACACAGGTAAAAACTAAAAAGAGGTCATATTCAGTTTTCCTCAATATATATTTCCCCATGCTTTGCGTTTACAGCCCGGCCGAGAGTATGCATTAGTACAAGGCCAGTACATGTCAGAATGGTGCAGCTGTTAGGGCTGTGAGGGCAATCTCTTTTACTCAGTTGCCCTGATCTGGAAGTGTTTCTAAATATACCGGCTCCCACACCAAACAACCACACTGTACTCTAACCTAAACCAGTGTAGACGATATTGCACAATACAGCATGCACTTGCTGGCTCATGGTTTGCTGTTTCCATGGCAACCACCATGTGACGAGAGACACTGGTATGCACGTACACATTATTAATTTATTATTTTTGTAGAACCGTGTCGACAAGTCCATCAAACCCAAATCTTTGAGAAAAGATTTCCCCTGATCGCATTTCTCCATAATGTAAAGCCGGGAATTTTCGGTGGTGTAATATTTTCGGTATTTCCCAAAATCAACCTTTCGGTAGGCTGACGGTAGCGTGAAAATTTCGGGAAACCAGTTTACCAGATCAAAAAATGCATTTTGCACACTGTGTGGCATGGGATTGTTGAATTTTAGTTCTCAGTTTAGGTAACAATTACCCTGGACTGAAGTTACTGAAAATAAATCTGCTCCTAAATGTTCCCTTTTCACAGTAGTGCTTGATACCTGGAATGAGTACCAGTATATTTTGCTGCACTTGGAAGACAATAGCAATAGAAACATAAGGAGTTGATGTGGACAAATGCAATAGGGCTTGAAAGTGCTATATCACAACCAGGCCAGGGTCATGACAGCGCTGAATTTACAATCCAATTGCATCTACAGTCAACTTCGCTTATAACGACACTCGGCGGGGCATCAAAAAGGTGTCCATATTCGCGAAGTGTCGTTATACCCGAAGTCTCATTATATGTATTACAGTGGGATGGGACTTTGCTCGGGGCATGGAAATTCTGTCGTTATTCGCGAATTGTCGTTATATCCGCAGTCGTTATTAGCGAAGTTGACTGTAGTTTTGTATGGATCCATGCACGTTTTACCTGTCAGATATGTATTTTGCTATGGCCGGAGTGGATCCCCCAGAAGTCGTTATCTGTTTATCTGTTGAGTTCTGACTTCATCATTTTTAATCCTGTACAAGTCTAGAGTAAAGGCATGGGGGATGGGCTGGTGTTATTAATTTTCTTTGTCTGCATACCACATTGCTTTGTTTCGTTGATTTTCTCCAGGCCGCAGAGCTTGCTGATCCTGAGAAGCCAATGCCGGCAATGCCAATGACAGTTGTGGAGCCCGCAGTCAAGGACAGTGGTGAGATGATTTCAGTAAAGTGTTCAGTTTAAAATATACCCTGGAAAGTACAGTGCTGCGCAATGAAATCCAGTCATGTGAATCAAGTATGTGCTGGGAGCTGTGCAATCCTAGACCTGCAAACCGTGACTGGTTTGTGACCTAGTGCAGTGCACTGACTACTTACTTGACTCACTTGATCGGATTTCCTTGAGCATTCACTGTGGAATACGGGAATGCAGGCTGGAAAACGAGACACGAGAAGCTAGTATAACCTGCCTATCCCTGGTAACTAGAGTGTAGGGTTCACTCAGGGAACGACACACTGGAATTGACCATAATGTCGGGTACGAAGGCTGAATATAAAACTGGGATTATTCCTATAGAAACTTCTATTCAAATCAGATCGGTATTCATACCTGTTATTTCAAATGTATGTTCTCAATACAACCAGGCTTGCGTACCGATACCTTACCTTGAAAATCAGGCTTGTTTTCAAAACAGTCTTCTATCGAAGACAGCATGGCATGTACACAGGGCCATTGTAGTACAGGGTGATTGATGGGAAAAGGATACACGGGAATTCATTGGCACGGAGTCACTAGAGTAAAGGATGTATGCACGGGATGAGTGTTCAGGGAGTCAAGTACGGAATTGGGAATTTATCGTTTTCAATTGGTTCATGGTTTTCTGGATGAATTGCTGCTGCAGAAAATATTGCCATGTAAAATATCGACAATGCTGTCGTCCGCCTTTGATCTACTGTAAATATACAAAATTTCGGCGCTACAAAATTTCGGCACTTCACGATTTTTGACATTTCGGCTGCGATTTATTTTCGGCGTGGGGTAGAGGGCATAGTATAGTGCGACAGATGCTGTGAAAAATTTCATCGGCGTTTTAATTTAGGCGTTTTGGGTCGGTGCCGAATATAGCCGAAATTAAATAGCTGCCGAAAATTTGTACATTTACAGTATAGTGCATGCAGCTCGGGCTTAACTCGGAGTTCTGGCCAAACATGATAGGTCGAGTACTTGCTCCCACCAGCACGACAGCCTAACAGCCCTACATGCGCTTGTCATGTCAAATCTTGTTGCAATGACCATGACCAACTGAGAAAAAAATGATATAAAAATGAAAAAGACCAAGGAACTACCAGTTATGCCATAATGTCCACTGACATCACCAGTTACTAAACAATCAGCTCATGCGATAACATTGCACGGCACTGACATTTTCATTTTTATAGATTAATCCTTGGCTCTCCATCCGAGTCCATTCAATGTCAGATATGATTTCTTTATCTCGACCTCTCCATGCTCACATATCAACCAATGTCAACCAATATCTTTAAACAAAACTGAGCAATTTGAGTCCCGGGAGGTGTGATTTTGCTGTTCCTGGTCCTTATACTTTGGGTGAAATATGTGGGGATACTTGTACCGGATTAAATGAACTGGAGAGGAGTGAATGATACATTTATGCTTGAAGTAGTTTTCTCCACTCACTGTTTGACACTGTGTGCTCCTTGGTTCTTTGACTTGCAGAAGTTGCAGCAACTGCCCAGAAGCCCGCGGCTGTGCCAAAGAGAGCTACAGCCTACCAGCAAGTGCTGTGCAAGCATTATGCTGCAATACAGAGTAGCTTAGCTATCAATGTGATGGACTGTGTCAAGAGCTTGCGTGCAGAAGGTCACCTCAGTACCGAAGTCGTAATGGAAACCAGATCCCTGCAGAAATCAGCAGGGCAAGATGAGACTCTAGATCACATGTGTGCTCTTCTGGAGAAGCTCCCCGATGACGGAATGTGCTTCTTTGTTGAAGATATCCTTCCGTCGCAAGGTCTGTCACAGCTCGTGGAGACATTCCGTGTGTGTCCTGGTCCTGGAAAGTGTTCACTGCATCGCAATGACCTGCATCCTGTATCAGTGTGTTCCAGTGACAAGACACTGTCCATGCAGACTAGTGTTGATGCCTCCCAGACTGGTAATGCCAAGAGTAGTCAACTTGAGACTGGGGTAAGAACTCTACTCTGTACAGTCTACTTAACTGCATGTTTGGTGATTGTACAGTAAAGAATACCTTAGCAACCAGTGCAATAAGAAGCAGCAACACCTGTGTTTGGAGACCTATTGTACCGTGGCCTAGGTAATTATATCAAAATATGTGTGCACACAGAACTGTGAAATTCTAGCGAATCCGGTTTTCTGCACACGGATGTACACGATGAGATTACCGAGAAGCCTTTTCTTAACATTAATAAAATTTAGGGATTCGTTGTTACTCCCTACGTGGGAGCTCGAGCTTTTCTCGCCGACTGAATTCTCACTTGACCAACTCACGACTACCATCCACAGCACACGAGAAGTCCATCACACCTTCCATTTGGTGAACCTGTAAGAAAGCACCCTCCCTGCTCAATACATGGTGTTTCGGGGGAGTCACCCCTCATCAGTTGAGCTTGAGTAGGCCAATGAAATCCGTGCTCCGAGAGTTCTGCATTACGCAGTGATCTCTGAACCTAAACTTCACTAGGGATTGTACTAGTATCACGTTGCCACGTCACGTCCTAATATGACGTACTGGCATGTGCTTCAGACTCATTACGTGTGGGTGTGCTGTGCACGCATGCATGCACCCCCTGAGCAGATAGAGCTCTCAACCACGCGGTGTTCAGTGGTTGTAATTATTATTGCAATGGCATGAAGACAGTTTCGACTTTCTATTTCTCTTCCCGTTACTTTAATCCTATCATGCATTCAACTTTGTAAACCATATGAACTGAGTGGGTGTTCGTTGTGTCGGGTGCACTCTGTGTGCGTGCTTGAGATTCCCCGACAACTTTGGTGCCGAAACCCGTTGGAAGTTCTGAAAGATGGCTTCGAAGTTGGATGGATTTATTCGCCCGTATCGGGGCAAACAGGACGACTTTGATGAGTTCTGGGCTAAGTTTCTGGTCTTAGCCAAGGCCAATAAGTGGGCCGATGACGCTGCCAAGGCTGAGCATCTTCCGTTGTTCCTGAGTGGACAAGCCTTTACGGTTGTCACTCAATTGTCTGACGAGGACAAAAAATCGCCGGCAAAAATTAAATCTGCGCTGGAGCAGGCATTTTGCCCCACGCCTGGTGCTGCCTACCGTTCATTTACGTCAAGGGCTTTGCGGAATGGAGAGCCTGTGGACGCGTACCTGGCAGATTTGAAGCGCCTACTTACGCTGTCTGGCCATAAGATTGCGGATAATTCAGATCCCGTGCTGATTGAGCAGTTCCTGAGTGGGTTGCCAGCTGATATTGGTCACCACGTTCGTATGGCGTCTGCTACGCAGAAGCTCACTGTCACTGATATGGCAAATCAAATCAGAGTCATGCAGGCATCCAAACTCCCAGAATCCCATGGTGCTGTTGCTGCTGCTAGCTCTCAGCCCAAGAAGTCGCTCGTGTGTTACCAGTGTAAGGCCGTGGGCCATGTGAGATCACAGTGCCCGAAGCGTAAGCCCAGTGTCACCTGTTATGCCTGTAAAGCGAAAGGGCATATTTCCAAGGACTGTCCGAACAAGAGTCGAGTTGGAAATGTCGCTGCTGGTCACACGCCGCCTGAACGTACGGATATTTGCCTTGCTCTGGCAAAATCGGATGGAGACCTAGTTCGTGTAGCCGTGGACGTACAGGAACCCAGTACTGGGTCTAGTACGTGGACGCGTTTTGCCTCTGTGGTGGATTCTGGCTGTACTCGCACACTGGTGGAGTCGGCTGTTGTTGACCGATTGAACCTATCAGCTGCAGTTTCTCCCTGTCAGGACAAGCTGTTGTCTATCGACGGAACACCACTTACTATCCTTGGCAACGTCACGCTACGTGTGCAACGACTTGATGGAGCCGTCCATTTGCCTCGGATCACTATTGATTGTCTCGTTGTGCCCAACTTGTCGTCCTTGAACACGGACTTCCTGATTGGCACAGATACCATTGGCAAGGTCGGTGGCCTCACTCTACGTTACGACGGTCTAGGGGGCACGCTGTCCTCAGTTGTGTTTGGTCAGCAGGCAGGTGTCGCTGCCGGTGCATCTCCCCAACCCGAATCTGAGAAGCCTAACAAGCTTTCTCGTCACATCGATGTTACCGAGTCCGAGACGACAGTCACCTTGAAGGCGAATGATTGCCTAGCTAACTGGTCGAATGAGCGTGGTCATTGGATTGGATTTTACATTGACATTGACACTCCGTTTCCAGCGTGACGAACACCTCTCGAACTTCAGACAGCAGCGTGAGTCAATAGGGAGACTTTGCTCTCCGTAATTACGTGTGAAAATATGTTGCATATTACGTACGAACTGCAAGTATTTTTCATACGTAAAAATCTGCGCTATTGTGTTTTGGTCTATGTGATTTCTCAACGACTGCCAATCATGCCTTGTTGTGTTGGAGATGTGTAGGCTGCATGCACCCCTTGCATGCACCACGAACACGGACCTCGTTCTCCCTTAAATATTATTTTTCCACGTGCTGTGGACCTTGTGTTTCGTGCAGCTTGAACATTGTCACGGATAAATCCGGAAAGGGCGAAACATATTTCAAAAAGTCCTACGAAGGACCGAACTTAGGAAAGCTGTGGAAATCCGGAGAGATTTACGTATGCTGTATCTGAATCTATCTTCATGTCCTCTGTAGATGTCTGCTCTTCACCAGGAGGTACTGCGCTCGAGCTTTGTGGAAATGAAGCGTAGTTTGGATGTAGAAGAGGGTATTCTAGACCATCTCTATGCTGAAAGCATCATCCCCAAGCACATCTGGAAGAAACTCCATGCTATGAAGGATCGTGAAGACAAGGTAATGCATGTGGTGTACTTAGTACCAATGGAACTTTCTTTAAAACTGCAAGTAGACAATGCGAGTGGCACATTATAGTAGCATTCGCATGGAGAAGAAACATTTGTGTGGACATGTCAATTCCAGATGCACTGATGATCCTGCAGAACCGGTAACACCACTAAAATGTTGATAATCGCAGTATTTTGTTTGGAATAGTGGGGTGGGCCCCCAGGGGAAAAATCGGATTTTTCGGCCAACAGCACTCTTTTGTTGCTGTTTTGGATGAATTGTGCGGAACATCGATGCATCCTGGATGAAAAGTGGTACGATCATGGTCGTACTGATCGTACCGTGTGCGACACCCTTGCGTGTGTGTGTGTGTATGTGTATGTCTGCTTGTGTGTGTGTGTTTGTGTGTGTGTGTTTGTGTTTGTTTGTGTGTGTGTGTGTTTGTGTGTGTGTGTTGTGTGTGTGTGTGTGTGTGTGTGTGTGTGTGTGTGTGTGTGACCCACACTAGTAGCAAGTATTACCTTCACTGGGGGCAGGGGTAACTGCAGTTGGATCCCTGGACGGATACCCTGATGCCGTCAATCCTTTTTCTGCACCTTGTCCTCACCCACTTACTGAGGTGTGGTGAGCCCATAAGTGGGATCATTTTCAAGTCCACCCAGAGTTTTGGGGATTTCAGGGGGTGTCGGCCGTTGGGCGGTTCAATAGCCAGTTGAGTCATCTTTCCAAGATTCCTTTTGAGTCTCTCTCCCCTCTTCCGGGGAGACCCACGTGACCAGTTTTGGCAGTGAGCAACAAGTACAAGTACAAGTGTGTGTGTGTGTGTGTGTGTCTGTGTCTGTGTATGTATATCTATGTATGTAATGCCGATGTGTGTGTGTCTGTGTGTCTGTCTGTTTGTGTATCTTTCATGGACAGGCATCAGACTTCCTTCATGCTCTGCCTGGCTGGGGCTCTACAGCATTCCGTCACTTTGTCACTGCACTGGACAAGAGTGAGACCCTTGTTCACCACGAGCTTGCGGAGATGTTGAAGAACAAGCTACTGGAATAGATAACAGTGGTTATCCAATGGTAAGTGTTGACCAATTCACACAACGTAGACATAGTTATATACCATGAAGTATGTCCAGCGATTGTTGCTGCAAAATCTGTCTATTAGAGCTCCGTAGAAGAAAGTATGTAGCTCACAGAACAGGACCGGCACCACAAATTTTTTTATGAGGAAGTCCTACTAAGCTTTCCCCCTGCACTCAGCCTCACTGGAATATCTCCATCCTAAAATGGTCTTCTCGTCCAGTGAGGCGTACTACTGTGCTAGCTGTATATCTGTTACTAGCGGAATGTGTAGCTGAACAAAACCCAGAAGTGAATATGATGCAGCCGCACAGAGCAGCATAATTAAAAAACGGGATGCATCTTCTCATCACACTGAAATGAGGTTTGTGGAAATGAAGGGCTCTGTAGCCAACCTGGGGGGCATATCGCCTATCAGGAGCTGGCTCAAGGCCTGCAGTGTAGACTAGGCATTTCCCAAATCGGCACAATTTTTTCACCTAATCGGCTTTTCGATCGGCTAAGAAAATGTCCAAATTCAGCCATATTATGAGCCCCAAAGTCAGAATTTGGCTCAAAGCGGTACTTGAAGTCACCTCTCGCAGTGTAGATGTACGTTTACACGCACGCTGTAGAGGCACTAGAACATCCATTTTCGGCGAATTCACCGCGAAATTGGTAAATTCGGTGCAATTGTCTGCGATTTCTTGACAGCCATTGATTTCGGCGTCTTTTCCTGCTGACCGTTTTCGGAAATGCCCAAAAGCCGCAGTCACCTTTCGCAGATATTCATCATACTGCCTACAGAGATTGTATTTGCATGCTGTTGAGGTCCTAATACATCGATTTTCGGCGAATTCAGTGCGAAAATTTTGTATTCGGCGAAAAGATCGATGATTACTTCAAAACCACTGTTTTTGGCCAATTTTTCGGCCGGCCGATTTGGGAAATGCCTAGTGTAGATCCTCACATTGCTGACCAAACTGAGGTGGTGAAGTCTTTCACAGGCTCGAAATGACAACGAATTACTCCAAATTTGTCAACAAGCTATTTGCATCAAGTGTTTGCATTGAATCTGCATTCAAAACTAGTGACCCCTACCAACTAACGACTCTAATGGTAACCCTTGTCGGGACAAGGATTTTCTTGTAAGGCGTGGGAGGGGTTGTGTTCATCAAATGTTCCACGTTAACACCCCTCCCCTCCCCACACACACTCCCAAAACCTACTGTAAATATGTACCGGTACGGTGGTGGCACAGTCTGATATTGTTCACATCGTACTGCACTGTCCCATGTACATATTTCTGGCTGCAGTAAATCTGAGGTGTCCGTGTTCATCACAGGTTAGAAGCTGATACCCCGATGATCATCATTGTCCTATCATTGTTCAGACTTAGCCGTTATCCTTCTTGTGACTTGCTCTCCGACCAGACATTTTATCTGAATTTAAACCATGACCTATTATTTTCTCCTGTTCTGCTCTCACCACAGCTAACGGCTGCTTGAGCATCCACGTACTCTTCTTCTGCGCTGCTCAGTTCTGTGTTGACACGGAGGTTGTGCAGATCATCGAGCCGGATGGTGAATGCCGAAGACAGTTTCCAATGCAGGATCTGTTCTGAGTTGCGTCTTTCTTGCGTGTGTGAACTGTGCTGGGTAGGTGATATTACCAGCATTGCTCACTCTACCAGGTATCATGCCTTTTGCAATTAGATTTGTGAAATTTGTAAAAAAATATGCTAGACATAGTTTTCTATTCCCTTCTAACACTCTATTGCTGCTTTCACTAAAATATCACTGGGTATGCACTTTGCCACTTTATTGTTGATATCCTCTACTGATATTCAAATGAGAATTAGATGTCCTCTTCTTCAACTCTGTAAAATTGATATACTATTATTGCACACTGCATTGTGTATGCACATCAGCCGGGGAGTCGTGCCCAAACCACTCCCTGATGCGTATCGTATATGCATGGTGACCTCAGCCCACATTTGATACAGATATTGATATTTTGATTTCCGATTATGAGTCCTGCCACCGTTTAGTTATTTTCTTGAGCAGCACAGAGAGCTGCTAGAACGCTGGTTCAGAGCCTTTGTGATCATTTATTATCAGTGGGATTCCATGGAAATATTTTGAATGATTCGATCTGAATTTGTATGCTCCAGTTACAATCCATTGGAAGTTGACGTGTTCTTTTTGCTAATTAGCATCATAACACAGTTCTCCATAGTACTCATAAAAATTCGGTCACTTTTCATCATATTATGTTCAGAACCCAAATGCTCAAGATTCACTGTTAGGTGAGAGAGTTGAAGGGAACGAAACTAAAAAGTCTGAGAAAAATTGGCTGTCACCACCAGTACTCAAACCCGGTACCTTTGCTTGAGGCCAGCAATGCTCTAACAACTGAGCTATGGTGCCGGTGGCGGTTATCCCTCCGGAGACCGTTCAACATAGACTAATGCAAATAGATGTATTTGTCACAGTTGCCATGCAATGACTTTGTGCCGTTTCGGCACTGTGTATTAATGCCCATTGCTTTTCCTCCTGGCAGTGACTGAGTCCCTGGCCCTGGTTGTACTTGGTGAGGGAGCAGCGAGGACAGGTCAGGGTTGTATAGCACTGCCATTTCAGGTACTCCGGCCAAATGGGTCACATGCATGACCAGAAATGGACATTATTGACGCAAACCGGCCCCATTTTTCATGGTTCAAGCATTTTCAAATTAAGGTTCAGGCTGGACCAGCCGGACCGCTAAGGCCCAGGCCGGGCCCAGACTTGATTGGGCTAGGCGCTCAGTAGGCTCGGTTTGCAATGCAGTAGTTTTGTCATCCGGACATCTCCAATTAATATTTTGCCATCGAGACAGGTGAAGGCGTATCATGTCACGTGATCACCATGATCACGGCACAGCTAAGTAGCAAGTCGCAAAGTAAAAAATAAATAAAAACATTTTTGTGGTCGGATGATTATTTATGATGATCGACCGGATCCGGCACGTGATCATGGTGATCGTGACACGAAGCGCAAAGCACGAATCGTAGCAGACTCACTGAGTGCGTTCGATTGTGCATTCAAGTCGTTCGATTTTCACGTCATGAGCCCTGGAATCGATTCGGACTCCATTCACTCTATGGGGCTGTTAAGTGATGACGTCACAGTTCCTTCGATACGCATAGCAACGATCCCACTGGGGACAAACAAAAGTAGCGTCGTCTCCATCGAACCAGTTGTCAGTGGCAACATATAGGAATCGTGTACATTTCTTCGTTTCTTCTTTGCTGTTTTCAGTGAGTGTTTTGTTTTCTCTTTGTTCTTGATCTCGACGGTGTTGTCGTGCTCATTACCTTACTGAGACGTCCCTTGTGACTGTAGCCAGTGTCACGGAGGATTTTATTGGCGTGACGAGGTAGATCGCGGAGATCGAGCGTGAAAAATCCTCTGCATTAGTAGCTCCTGTAGAATGTCTTCTGGGATGGCGTATCCATGGTCAACAAAGCCAAGGTGCAAGACAGCATAAGAGATCGTGTAAACGATGTGAACTCCAAAAGGTAAGCTCCTGGACAAGTGGAAAGATATGTGTATTTACAAACTCTCTCTTCATCCATCGATTGCCGCTATGCATTGCATTTTGTCTTCACAGATAATCTGGACAAATAAATTATATTGTAACTGGAGAGTGCAATCGTGCTTGGGACCCATCCCAATGTCATCACATGGCTGTGATGACTAGTGTATACCTGGGAGAGTTTTTCCTCAACTGAGACGGAGTGTAGGTGGATGGATTATGAGAAATGCGAAGATGTGGAGTAAGTTGTGTCGAAGAAATGTGTAATATAATATAACGAGAGAGCTTGAAAGCTCAGGGCCCTGCGCTATGCTTTGTTGCCTAGCTCATCGTGCATGTTGTTAGAACTGATGGAAATGTGTTTTCCTTTGATTAGCTACATCATTGTCTTGCAAAAACGTTTCAATGAGATACTGAAGTAACGTCTTCTGCATAGCTATGGGACCGGCGCTGACTCTGCCGATCACGGGCGTTCTGGAGTCGACGGGATGTCTGTAGTGACGTTTCCTGGGACCGGCGCTGACTCTGCCGATCACGGGCGTTCTTCTTCTTCTTATTATTATACTGACGGCAACTAACATCCATTCTGATTGCATTTACTCGTCTCCCTACTTCGTATTTCTTTCCAGAAAATCTCCCCATATAGCAGGGAGTCGTTTACATAATATGACTTCCTGCTATACATGTACATCTACATGGCTGTATATACGTTATAATTATTATGCTATCGGCCTACACGCGATTCCCGGGCTGGTCGACAGGCGGCCCTGCCAGCCTGCAAGTTGTCGGTCACTGATACAACGAAATTTGAAAGAAAAAGAAAAAAAGGCCCAACCCTGCCTGGCCAGCTATTTCGACTTACGGGGGTCGCCATGGCAAATAATAAGTAGTAAAAATGAGCTAGTGTGGCTGTGAAAACAGTCTATATGACAATATTCAGTCAGCCATAATGGATGCCTCCGCAGCGACCACAGCTGCAGATGACGCGACAGGAGCATGGGCAGAAAACATGGATCGGCTACCACGCACACACATTACACTGGCCCGTATTAGCGCTATGCTAAGACGACACCGGATGAACGCCATGGTGAGGGAGTAGGACTCACCGGTCTTCTCTGCAAGCAACACAGCAATTCTCTTGTACATAGCTGACGCACACTTGCTCATGCCGCCAGTCGTAGAGAACACGGCCGGGACAAACGAGGCATGCTCTACATCACGCAAGCGCTGTTCGTACGAACGCTTCTTTGCCTTCTCATGGCGGGTGTAGGCTGCGGAGACGGAGGAGGAGCGAGCCAGCCTGCTAGTGGGATCTCGGCCTCGCACCCAAATCCACACAAAATGTTACTGCACTGAATGCATTCCCCCGATACACTTCGCATATATACTCATTCTCTTGGGGGTACCGTACTCTTGATGGTACGGGACAGGTACGGGATAGCGCCAGGCATGTCGATGGCACAAACAAACAAAAATATTGTGGCCAGCTGTCTTTGCTGGTACGGTACAGTACGGGACAGATACGGGATAGCGCCAGGCGTGACACAAACAAACAAACAAACACCAAATTAAAGCTGTGTGGACCCTGGCTAGCGCCAGACGTTACTGAAGTAACGTCTTCTGCATAGCTACGGGAATAAAATTTACTTTACACTCAAACATACACTGTACATGTGCATGTAACATCATGATAATGATTCCATCTTCATATCTCCGCAACAGGTACGCCATACGCACCGAATACATGGTGTGTGTGCACGCGCGCGCGCTTGCGTGCGCGCGTACATGCACACACTCTCATGCGTGGCCGAGTTGGCCGGATGAACAGACCACGCATTTGCACGAGGTGTCCGTCATGTCATTGGAATGCTGTACTTTCTGACTTTATTCCAAAATAGTATGTCTTGCCCCTGTCAAATGGAGTTTGTGTCTATGCTCAGCGGGTATCGGGCCATGACACCACACTGCAGTCAGCGCTGGAATTAAAATAGCACTTCATGGATTGTTTTTAGGGCTGAGTCGGGTAGCACGGGTACCCGATCGGGTAATGTTTCCATGGTAAGACCACAATGCACACCGGCCCCTCCCCTTACACACTGGGTAGACATGCGTGAATTATTTGTACACGTGCACTGTAGACCTCTCTCTACTCTTTCTACATGATGTCATCTGCGACTTCGGGTTTTCGGGTACGATTCGGTACCCGTCTACCCGAGGTCCTCACGGGTAGCACGGGTACCCGACTACCCGTGCACACCACTAATTGTTTTAACTAATTTCCTTTGCGTTTATTTTGTTGAGATCGTGGTTTCATTTCTGTGTTCTGTTATGATTGGCTTCTGGAAATAATCGGAGTGGATGTCATTTTTATGTGTGTGCCTTGTGCAACAGGTTCAAGGCTAGATGCACTTCACATTCGGCGTGCGATCTCGGCGTCTGTGACCTGATAACGTCTTGGTTGGATGGGTAATCAAGGATGATACTACTCGGCACACCAATGTACATGTCAATGTAATTTTTACTTTTTCAGAGCTGCACTATTTACGTCTTGATGCTTACTTCGGTACTAGCGTGTTTCCCCCGGATTATTTCTATCATCATGCGTGTTCTTGGGCTGAGCGAGCACATGCACGAGTGTGCAGCTATAACCCTGTGTATCTTTGGTTACACTTTGTTCTGCAATGCATGTACCTTGTAACAGTATGTGCTTGCACTGCTTTGTGTGGCCTGCGTATTTCAGGACTATTCAGTGCATTAGACCCAGGTTGGTTTGGTTGCCGGATGATCTCTTGTTGCGTCGCTCTGTGTTTTGTATTCATCAATTTTTGGGCTTGAGAATTGAGCTGGTGTGTGGTTCCCAATATCAAAACATAATGCTGGTGCTCTGTGTTTCGATTATCGACTGTCCGAGCAGTTACGATTCATTACCAGAACGGTCAATACTGTAGTTTCTTCACGTGTTTGTCTTTTTGTGTTTTCGCCGGGGGGAATTAGCGGTGACGTTGCACATAGAACGGCAGTGTTGCATCACTGGACGACCCTGCCTCTGCATCTGACTTCATTTTCCCAGGATCTGGTGCGGATACACCAGACAGTCACTTCCTGTAAACACGCAAACAGCAAAAGAAGAGATCCCGCAAATCAGGAAAAACCATTGTGGAAAATATCGAGTAGATCATACACATCATACACATTGAGTGGTGCATTCTTGCAGGTTTGCCGAGTCGAAGGTTCGATGGACTTCTCGTGTGCTCTGGATGGCAGTCGTGAGTCAGTCAAGTGTCAAGTAAAGTCGGCGGAATAGCGCGAGCTCCGGTGTGGGGAGCAAACCTTTCTTAGATCATACACCATTCAATAATTTGGAGTAATTACAGTGAGACAAACACTTCAAACAGTGCTCTCTCTCTCTCTCCATCCTTCCAAAATACTAGTACCCTGTAACAATTCCCTATAATTATTGTATTTTATATTCTCAGGACATCATTCTGAATATAATAACTTCTTCCATGGGTCTTCAATCACCACGGAGGGCGAGAATATATCTAAGTCATGCAGTTTACGGGAGGTGCGAGCTGTCATGGATATAGAGGCTGACATTGTGCCAGCGTGAGGGCAGAGACAGAAAGAAGACACTGATTTCTTGAACAACTCACCTACATATAATCGAATCCACAGGGAGCGCTCGTACTTTGATCCATCAGGACGCGAAGAATCTTCAAAGCACTCTCAAACACGGAGTATTACAGTGGGCAGCCAATTTCACAGCCATTATGAAGGCCCTCGACGACTACAGGAGATTTGTAGAGGAAATAACAAGGAGTAAAGAGCGACAACAATCGCTTGAAGAAAAAGCAAAGAAAAACTGCTTTCTCTCCAGTCATTTAGATGCTGTTGCCCTTGACATCTGGTTCCATCCAGAGGACGCGACTTTTGTTTGTCCCCAGTGCTCTTCGTTGCTATGCGTATCGAAGGGGCCGTGACGTCACACTTAACAGCCCCATTCACATGATGGGGTGATGTGAATAGCGCGAATCGATTCGCGTGCATAATCGAACGCACTTAGTGACTTACTAGATCTACCAGGCCAGGGTGTCCGTAAATGGGTTTTCCCCACTCCCTGGCCTGCCCGAAAGAATAAATCTGATCTCAGTGATCTGCAACGGCCCGGCGCGGCGGGCGGTATTGCACTGTTGGTTTACCGAGTCTGTGCACAGCTAGCCAAGATGGCAAGATGGCAAGAATGTGATTGTGAGAGTGAAGAGGTTTTTTGCTCATCCTTGGACCTTGACCAAACAGAACCAGACCAAGGTCACAGAGGACACGCATTAGTTTCTCTCTTTCACTAGTCGGAATCCTGTTGAGTGCCATACTAGATAACAGCGTATTGGGTCGTGTCGGTGTTGGTACGTAACGTTCACTCGAGGAGTGAAAGTCAGCGGTGACGGGGTGCGCTATCGAGTCAGGGTGATGTGGTGAGAATAACTGACTGCACCGGAAACGAAGCTGCTCTATTTCTGCAGCAATCCACGGCAAGGTACAGCCTGAGAATGCAATCTTGTAACAGTACATTCTGTTATTTTAGGAACATCATTTTCACATCGACCGTGATGTAGTCGCTGCACGCATGCAACACTAGTATCATGATAATATTATTAAAGGGGAAGTGCATCGATTTTTCGAGTAGGGTCCAGAAGAAAGACAATTTGATATCGGTTCGAATGGCATATCTCTCGTTTCCATACGATAAGCCAAACTTGCCAAATCGCCAATTGTATGCTCTCGTTGCCATAGCGACCAGCGGAGTGATGACGTACGAAAGGCTTAGCTCCTCCACAGAGAGGGTCGATCACTGCAGAATTTGGTCATTTTCAATTGGTTTATTGTATTCACGATGTGAAAGAAGTGCTGTGTTCAATGCTGTTAGTGCCGTGAACTATTTGTCGCCCTTCTCATGCATTTCCCAAGGCTGACTGTGCCTAGGAAATGGTTTCCTCCAGGACAAGATGCTTGGAAGTCGCCGTCTCTCCTGAGACATTTTCAGCAAACTTTCAAACCTACTACATTATTTCATTCGTCAATCTCCACCACCCGTCGTCTCACCTGGCTTCAGAAGATGTTACGAAAGATAGGGAAGTCGCCAGGAAGCATCACAATCATCTTCAGGAAGTGGAAAGAGCAAACGGCATGGTCCTTGGTTGGGGGAAATGCTGAACGTCTGATTTGTCCCAACCAAGATTTCAGCATTTTGTTCGTCACTATGTTCGCTTGTTTGCTGGTGTCTCCGCGCTCCAGCTTTCTCCTGTCGGTGTCACGTCCAAGTACACAACCGAGAGGACTACTAACAAACAGTTCACTGCACTTACAGCATTGAACACAGCCCTTCTTTCACTTCGTGAATACAATAAACCAATTGAAAATGACCAAATTCTGCAGTGATCGACCTTCTCTGTGGTGGAGCTAAGCCTTTCGTACGTCATCACTGCGCTGGTCGCTATGGCAACGCGAGTATACAATTGGCGATTTGGCAAGTTTGGCTTATCGTATGGAAGCGAGAGATATGCCATTCGAACCGATATCAAATTGTCTTTCTTCTGGACCATACTCGAAAAATCGATGCACTTCCCCTTTAATAAGTTCTAAACTAGTGGGTGTCGTAAATGGGAATGACTGTACATGTAGCAGTTACTGTTTACACGTGTACATGACATGTAGATCTACTTACCTTCCATACATATACATGTACAATGTAGATCTACGTACAATGACTTATGTACAGTAGATCTAGTGTTCTTAAATCTGATAATTCTAGCCTGGACTGTTCTTAAATTTTGCCGGTTTTCCAGCCTGGGTGTTCTTCGGCGCCCGATCTTACTGTAGTCTACACTGTACTAGTCTACACTGTACTAGTCTGTAGTCTGTAGTACTACGACAATAGTACGGCGATAAGGGAATGAATGTGACTGAGATCAGAAACGACTGTGCTGTACAAGGGTCAGCGACTCAGCACCGTTCTATTGACGTTATGCTCGGTGAGAAGAGTGTTCTATTGCACCTGCTCAGGACTTTCCTGACCCTCAACACTGTCCTCAAACTGATGAATATTTTCCTGTGTTCATGCATATCCATCTTCTTTGTGATGTTTGCCAGAACCTTAAACCTTTTGTCATGCAGGTACATGTAGAGTTTATAGATAAGTTTATCCTGAATGCAGCAAATGATATTTTCCATCTTTGACCTCTTTGGTTGTGGGTCTGCTCTACTCACCTCCGACCGCTTTAATAGTTGCATCTGCGCCTTGGTCCTGGAGGGTGGTGGCGTTCCTACGGGTGCGGAAAACTCAGTCTGAGTATCGCGAGAACCGCGAATACCTTTACTGTGATCTAGTGGAACTATGGTGTGCATATGTGAACAGCAGGGCTGTAGGGCACAGACTGTGTTGTGAATATCACGTATGTAGCTGTGGAGAACCGGATGTGATGAATGAAATGGTGGTAGTATGGGGTACATGTGATGCAGTTATTTTGCCATGTGTGTTGGGGGGGGGGGGGGATTGTTTGCCGTTAACATGTTACATATACCTGTTTCGTGTGACACTGTGAAAGTGGACTTCTGGTGTACTGTCATTCATACTTGAATTCTCATTGAACCCATTACTCAATGATCAGAAGACAAAATATTCTGTTGGTGGTGGGTGTGTGCGTTATATATAACTTTGTGTTTAGAACAATGCCGTTTGACTTCTGGGATGATGTTGTCCTGCCAGCATGGCATGACATAGCTCAATGCCAGATTACTGATGAAGCATTTAAGAAGGCTCTCATGGCAATTGATGAGCATCATCCACGTATCAGCAGAGATCCCGTGCTGAGGACATATCTGATGGCGAGTAAGGAGTATTTCTCCCTCAGAAGGAGTTCAGAACAGAACAGGTTAGTCTGCTATGTTGGTTGGGTGATTACCTTCAAGAGAGGACCATCGGGTGTCCAGAACTTCATTCAAGACATCCAGTCTTCATCTTTCCCGTCCAATGTTGCTGTTGGTGGACTGCTGGAGAGGATTTGGAAAACTCGTAAGAATGATCATCCTGATGAAGATGTCAAGGATCCTTGTGAGTAAATGATTGCTATAAAGTTAATTCTAACACTTGCATCCAGTTAAACTAAGCAGGGAAGTAGTTCAATGATTTCATGGTATTTTGTATGTAAAGTTCATACTTCATACACGTGGAATTGCACCACTACACTTGTTAGCTGCTCTGGCAACCCAATACTTTCCCTAAGCACTCTCAGAAGACTATCTTGTAGTCTCATGAGTATTACTATGAGAAGAAGTATTGGAAGACAGGAACCACTGGAGCCTGCATTGTCCTATAGTTGATGGAAAATCTGAATAATCATTACCGACAAAGAAGTGGGAAATATGAAATCGTGAGCACAATAGTGCATTTGTATTGTGACCTGTATGCTGCATAAGTATCATAGCATAAGTATACCTGTTGCATACTTGAATACACCTTGTAAATGAATATAGCACTTGCAATACTGTACATTGAAGAAATCTTTACATACATGTTATGTGTGATGTTATGCTGGTGCATGTTACAACATTATACAAGATCATGCATTCTATTCTGTAGAGTAGAACTACAGTATATTCATAAAAAGATGGACTTCTAGCCTTTGGCCAAACCTTTTAGAATAGTTTTCTATGGAATCCTCTTCTAATTATGTTCCTGAAGACTATTTGCCCAAAAAGCAAGCCATAAGAAGAATAGGATTTCGGCCAGGTTTTGCCCTAAAAGCATTGATCAGGGAGATCCATCAAAATCCAGGCCGTTTGACCCCGCCTGCAACAGTGCATTGTGCGGTTCGAAACCCCAGTTCACGTACCCTTTTTGGACCCGGTTTCAAATTTTGCAGCACTGCGCTGTCTACGATAATACCACGAAAATCGCCTAATACGGCAGCTCGCCAGAGCCAGGGATCATCTTTTTTTGTGAATGGACTGTAGAACCAGCATACCATCAATGGGAATGAAAATGTAGTTGAGCCGATGTAGGATAATTACAACTCCTGCATTGTACCATCGTGTCACGGGTTTTAGTCAATACATGTCTGTACAAAAGTACTGAAATGAACATGATTGCACTCACTATAGTGTAATTGTGCTATGTAAGTTTAATAACGAGACGTGTAGATCTTTACTTGATCAACTGATGCCAAGTATTGTTTGGTGCAAAGATCCATCAATCTTTGTTACGCTACATGGAGTTTAGACTAAAACTGAGCATGTATGTCACATATGCTGTATACAGTCAAATTATCAACCAATGCATTTGCAATACTCAAGGCTACCCGTAAGTAGTAAATTATTATTTGAAGTAAAGAAAAAAGGACCAAGAAACTACAGGTTCCGCTATAATATCCACTAACACCACCAGTTACACCAGTTACACCAGTTACACCGGTTACACCAGTTACAGTTCCCCTCCTCATGTTATTTCTATAACTTAGAATCTTCCAAGTTGGAAGGCTGTTTGAGTGCGCATCCAAGATGTGCTAGAGTTGTTAGCCAGTTAGTTGTAGAACGTCAGTACCGTCGGTCAGTGTCGTGCAATGTTATCGCATGCCTAAGCTGATTGTTTAGTAACTGGTGGTGTTAGCGGACATTATAGCATAACTTGTTGTTTCTTGGTCCTTTTTCTTTACTATAAATTTATCCTTGGCTCTCCATCCGAGTCCATTGTTATTTGAGTGCACATTTTGCCTGAGTTCAAATGTAGTCTAAAAATATACTTCCTCCGCACCACCGAAATGTGCACTTATTTTTTAAGAGCTTGTGAGCAATCATTCCTTGACATTGGCAAAAGAGTACGTCAATAATCGGATCCAAGTATCTAGAAAGGGAAAAGACATCTTTCATAGCCGACGTTTGATGATGACTCAAGCTAATGGGGACTCAAACCCTCTTCAATATATTCAACATCGAGTGACACAGACACACACAAAAGAAAATGAGTCATACGATGTGTGAAAGTTTCAACTTCCGTGCTTCGTGCTTTGCACGCAAAACCAGTTTGTACAGCTAGTGCACGCATTCTCGACATGTGGGCTCGTGCATGGAAAACCTGTACGCACTGCTGCGATCGCGAGGTCCTGTACGCACTAGCTGCTATCCGCGGAAGCCGGCGCTGTACTAGCCTGCAGCACGCAGTTTCAAATTGGAGTGCTTTTTTTTCAAGCTCCTGCGCTGTAAGTTCTCCATCTCCTGCCAAAGTCTGAACAAGTGAAACCAGTAGCTCACATTATGTCATTGTTCCGTCTGGACCTGTACAGCTGAAAGGCTACAAATGAACCTTGACTACTGGTCAGAGTGCAGAGCTTGCACAATGTGCAGAGCTTGAGCACCATGCAACTCTGAGTTGAGATCTATTTTTGTTCCAATGGATTTCTGCTGAAATACTATGGAGAGGCTGGCTCGGGAAAAGTGCTCTGCTGGTCCTTAGGCTGTGACGTGCTGTTGTTTAGAATTTGATGTTGTGCCCACAGACTATTTGTGATTCCTCTTACGCCGTACGAGAGTAGAAAAGCCTTCAGATTACTCTTGCTAGGTAGGTCGTGTCTCTCAAGTACACACTGATCCTGCCAGCAATGGGAATGTGGCCAGTAACATGACAAACGTATACTACTTGGAAAAGATCAGAGCACATTGCGGTGGGTTGGCGAAAGTATGACGATGACATTCAGACAAAGACAAAAAAAGCGGCGACAAGTACGGAAAAGTGTAAACACTGGTGGGCCAGAAGACGATGCAGCAGCATGTATGAAGGGGTGACAAAAACACAGCAAAAACGAAGCAGCAGGCCGCAACAGAGTGACACAAGCGCAGCAGCATGTGCAACATACCTATTTGTATACAGCATATTATTTCCTAGTGTGCAGGTCAAATGCAGTCTTTGACTTTGTTATGGTAATACAGTGTATGTACAGTCTGTGTGGATATGGGTATACGTATAGCTCATGGCATTCCATGCTCTGATCAATTTACACCAGTTGTTCAACACCAGCAACCATATAGCCCAACTGAACCTCTTGTGCTCAGCTGTGCCTTGCTATGCTTATGCCACACCACGTGCACACACACACGGTGACACTGCATGCACACCCACCCACCACGTGCACACACACACACACACACACCACATGCACCTTTTTTGCCCTTTTGAGTTTTGACGCCCATCACTGAGGCGATGATAGCGATGCTGCAGCAGAAGCCATAGCAACTTGTGCTGGGATTGCACCATTGAACAGCTTACAAGGCTGAAGAATTGACCGCCACTATTCTGAGTCTTGTCTACACCACACAGCTATTTGAAGAGGCCATTTCTGGCCAGTGAATCCCTACTTTTTCGTTTTCGTTTTTTCCAGCACACATCACATCACATATTCCACCATGTACTGGCTGTTGGGACTGACCACCCAGGATTTTTCATACCACGTGCACACACACACACACACACACACACACACATACACACACACACCACCACCACCACCACCACCATGTACCACACACCATTGACCATTGACCATTGGACGCCCATCGCCAGAGGCGATGATAGCGATGCTACAGCAGAAGCCATAGCAACTTGTGCTGGGATTGCACCATTCAACAGCTTGCAAGGCTGAAGAATTGACCACCACTATTCAGCCTGGTCTACACCACACAGCTTTGAAGTGGCTTTTTTCTGGCCAGTGAATCCCTACTTTTTGGTCTTTTTATTTTATTTTTCCCGCACACACATCACACCACATACTCCGGCATGCACTGGCTGTTGGTAACCACCCAGGAGAATGAAAGAAAAGTCAGGAAGAGTCTGAGAAAGAGAAGAAAGACGTGTGTGACCATAATCGTCGGGAATCGAACCCGCAACCTATCGATTGGAAATCGCTGCACATACCACTGCACCATATGGGACACACCCCCCCCCCCCCCCCACCACACACACGCACGCACGCACACACACACACACACACACACACACACACACACACACACACACACACACACACACACACACACACACACCTCAGACCTGCCCATCGCGGAAGCGATGATAGCGAACAGCTATATTAGACATAGCAACTTATGCTGGAATTACACCATTCAACAGCTTGCAAGGCTGATGAATTGACCGCCACTGATTTTAGCCTGGTATCCAGCACACAGCTGATTTAAGTACAGTGCTGGCAACTGAAATCCGACCCTCCTAGCGGTGCGCTAGCCGCGTTAGCGATTCGTACGAGACGCTAGGGGGGTCGGTATTCAGTTGCCAGCACTGTAGCTTATTCTGGCCAGTGAATCCCTATTTTTCATTTTTCATTTTTCCATTTTTTAATTTTTTTTGGACACACACGCCACGCCACATACTCCGGCATACACTGGCTGTTGGTAGCCACCTAGGATTATGAAAAAAGAGCTAGGAGAATGAGAAAGAGAAGAAAGACGTGTGCGACCATCATCGTCGGGAATTGAACCCGCAACCTCTCGATTGGAAATCGACTGCACCATATGGGACATACACGCACACACATACGTGTATACGTAAAGTCCGCTGCAAGCGCCCACTTCGCAGCAATCCATACTATTTTCGTCTTTTTCAGGTCAGTTTAGTTGTAGAAAACTGGCATGAAGGTAGAATGCGTACAAGAACGACTGTAATGGGTCATAAATATCAAAGATAAGTAAAGAAGGGGGAAGCTTTGCGAGAACGAATTGTACAAGCCGAAAGCCAAAGTCCTACAGTACTCCTCATGCATGATGGACTTTGGATGGATGGTCCTTGTTATTGTAGTTCGTTCTCCTGAGGATGGGCCAGGCCCGAAAATTTGGTGTACAGTAATGTAAATGTAAATTTGAATTTGAATCGCAGTGAAGAGACCGTTTTTGGAGTTTGGAGTTGAGAAGTGAAGTTTCCTAAAAGTTCGTTCTCCATTATTTTGGTTTTCAAATCATGAAATTTCTGCAGTGCCATGAATGTGACGATGTTGCGCTTTCAGAACGGAACGGTGATTGTTCTGACGAAGCATCATTCGACGACTTGACCGGTCGCAGTATTGCAGTTGCAAGTCGAACAGGGGAGATGTCACAAAAGCCACACCTACAAAGTCGCTACCAACTTGTTGAAAACTCTGAAGTGCTCGAGAAAAACCCTTGCCTTTGCGTGTTGCGTGATTTGGAAATGATGGCTTGAAACACCGTCAGAAGTATATTTGGTTCCTGCAATACTCTGCTCTTTGCTACCTTGTTATTCGGAAGAAAAACCCATTTTGATTTGCGAAATACAACAAACAACATCATAAAATCACTACGAGCTAGCTCGTAGCTACTGCCCAAAGAGACCTTGAAACCAGGAAAGTGGACATCGTTTACCGTAGCAAAGCGCTCTTCGCGCCACGGTGTGAGATGCACTTTCGTACAGTGGGAGTGACAGTGCATGGGGTCAGTGCGTACAGGCCAGCAGATCTTGCACAATGCGGTGGGCATTTGCAGCGGACTTTACGGTACACAAACATACACACACACACACACACACACACACACACACAAAAACACACACTATTGGACCAGACATAGTGGTTACAACAATGTATCCTGTTTTTCTTGTGTATTATTCGCTGTCTGTAGATTTCTTCACAAGGGTTGTCAAGAGCAACCTACCACAGATCATCGCCAAACTAGCGACCGTACCAGATATAGTGCTCACTGAAGTATTTGGAGATGTCGCCCTGGATGAAGAGTATATCAGCACTTATCGAACGGCATGTGAGGTGGCCGGTCATGTGCGTGATCTTCCACTTTGCTGTCAAGCATCAATTGGGGCGTTTTTACTGTACCCAGCAGGCAGCTTTCAGTTTCTCTTTTGTGACTTGCACCATCCTGATCTCACTCAACGACTGGATAACGATTTCCTGATCAAGATCGACCGTGAGGCAGGATGTGATGGGAGTAGTCTTGTCCAACTGTTGAATTTGGCTATTGATTTACAGAGCGATAGTAAGTGACAATTAATTTTGAAGACTGCAATGCAAGTTGAAGAATGGCCATGATAATGATTCTTAGTCAATGGATGATGCTGGTCTTTGTCTTAGTGTGCATACCAGCTGAAGTTTATATGAAAATACAGTTGTCTTGTACCAGCAGAAATGTTCTAAATAATATTTGCTGTGTTCCAATTTGTACGAAAGATGTTGCAACATCGTCGATGATTAGTGAAGAAAGTGTCTGCTCCGAACGTCGGAGCTCAAGCGGCTCCCTGCCGACTGACTTGACACTTGACTGACTCACGACTGCGTCTGGAGCACACGAAAAGCCTTTCGAACCTTCCACTCGGCAAACCTGCAAGACAGCACCACTCCCTGCTCAATACATAGTGTTTCGGGGAATTCACCCCTCATCATTTGAGCTTGAGTAGGCTAATAATGAAATTTCTGCTCCGAGAGCACTCACTGCATTATACGGTAGTACTCTCCGAGGCAAAACATCACTAGGGAGGGATATCAACTTTCAGTGACGCTTCGCTTCCAGCGCAACAAACACCTCGCGATCACCAGGCAGCAGCGCGATTCACTGTCGCACATGGAGTTCCAATTTGTCTAGTTTATAAAAGTTATTTTTTAGCCTTCGTTTCCATTATAATGAAAATGAGGAATTCTGTGCAAATCGTCCGTACCCACCATTCTTTATTGGTTTGAGGGAAAGATGCAAGCGGGAAAAGTGTTGAAATCATCCATACTTGATTGCCCTTTCCCCGGTGACTTTTAAACTTGGCACTTGACTGACTCACGACCTCCATCTAGAGCACAGAAAAGTCCATCGAACCTTCGAAGTCGGCGGCAAAAACGTGAGCTTCAGTGTTGGGAGCAACCCACGTGCTGATGAAATTATCGCCCATTTCGCAAACTCTATTTCATAGCATTGTAAAGTAGGCTAAAACCTGCCTGTCATGTTTGTGGAAATCACCAGCATATTGTTTAGTAATGTCAAAATGTCAATTTCCTAAACTTTATGTACCAACAATCCAAGCAATACTCGTAGAGAATTCTCTTTGTGATTCTTGTGATCTCATTTTCATATGCAGGAGGTACCTCAATATCAATGGTGAGCGATGAAGGTGTGATTGCAGTGAGAGAAGGACCGGGCAATACAGCTGAAGGTTAGTATTGTACATGTAGTGGTCATCCATTAATTCAATAACCTATTTTAGGTAAATAAATGTACAATGCTCAAAGTTTGTCAGTACGAGCCTTTCAGCGTTAGTATTCCAGCGCAAGCTGTGTACATTTGTACTACCTTTCTCAGCCCGGCGAAATTTTAGCGTCCACAGAGTTGAGGAAAATCTCAGCCTGACAGTAAATCCCACTGAGAATTAGAGCGCGGTGGAAATCAGTGTCCACACAGTCAGCACAACATACCCCAGCGAGACATAAAAGCGTGTGGTTAAGTTAGCAAAACCTGATTCGGCAGTGATCAGTGTAATTTATGTGTTACACTCAGGGGTGTCCCACACTTCATCATACCCGACGGACCGGTGATACCATGGTCGTACTACTTTTCGTCCGATGTAGTCTGCCCAATTCATCCCTGAAAAAGCAGTGAAAATCTCAAAGGATCATGCAATTTTACATGCACTTGTACATTCACTGTGCACATAACTCATAGAGTTGACTTGGAGTAGACCAGGGTAAGCATATTTGTTGATTATCGGTACTGTTCTGCCTGTCCCCACAGTTGTTGCCAGTAGACTAGTATACCGAATACTACATGTAGGCAGTTGTATTTAGTGCTGCACAGTATGTGCTATGTACAGTCAAACCTGTAATGGCGACCACTCGGATATGGCGACCACTCGACCATGGCGACCACCTTTCCTTGTCACGGACGCATTCACATTCAAAACAGCTCAGATAAGGCGACCACTCGCTCAACGCGACCGACGACCATCCACCCGCGACCGCGTTGCACATTGCTAGTACATGTAAATGTATGCATTGCATGGTGTACCATGCATGGTAGATCTACACATCAGTGCAGGAAGTGTAGATGTGCATGGAGCATGCACGACAGTTGACAGGTCTGAGGACCCCAGGCACATGAGTCGTGCGAGAGTAGCATAGGTGTGTGCAGTGTGATACACTGATCAAAATGATATATCACATGTATTATGACGTGGATGTCACGTGACCCACTGAACCTGGAGAAGAAGACCACCTGGCCACGGCGACCACTTTCTCTCGTCCCTTGAGTGGTCGCCTTAGACAGGTGTCACTGTAGTTATGCTGACTGTAGCTGCAGTGTGCATGTACACGTGGTAGTCTAGATGTACTGGGGTGTACGTGGTCAATTCACACTCACAGAGTCACAAAGACAGTATACTATGCAACGAACACCTAGCCTACAGGATACCAGTTGATCAGCTATGGTAGATGTATGAGGTGTTGACATGTCATGTCGGCATGGAGACGACCTTTCCATGGTAACTGGAGCTGTGAAAGAACTCAGTTCTGATTTGACTTGCTTACTTTTCTGCTGTGGTGAGACAATGTCAGTATGAAAGGGAGGAATGCTCCACATAATCAAATTATAGATATGAGAAATGTCGCAGAGCATGTGATTTCAGCAGACGTGTCACATGATTGGCAGACACTGGTTTGAACAATGCTAGGATAAGAAGTGCTATGGAAATGTTCTGCACTGACACTCAGTGCATGACCACAGATACGTAGCGTGCAGATAATGTGGTGCAACTTCAAGAGGTTCAGTACTGAGACGATATGCACGTTCTGCAGATGTATGAACTTCTGTACTAAGGTCGTAGGTGTGTACAGACTCGTTCGGGTGTTCATTGTGTGCTATACATGCGCATTTGACCAATGTTAGCCTCATTTTTTTATGGCAAACAATCGCTTTTACAGTTTCTTCACTTTGGTTAGAACTAATTACTAGCTAGATCTTTGTCAGAAAAAGGGGTTCGTAAGAAATGCCTTCAGGGCCCATTTCTTAGTGGAAATAGCAGTAAACACAATAGGGTCCTGCACATTCAACACCCAACCGGGTCTACAGGATTCTACGAGATCCTACGGGATTTCGTGCATCTGTACAACGTGCATCAGGCTCATACCATCCTCTTCTAAGGTTTCATTTGCTTAAATTCACAGCAGTCAGTTACATTCCAATGAAAGTCTTGTGCTCAAATGGTCCTGCTAATCTGTTCATGTTGAAATTCTGGGGCTGAAATAGCATTATTCTGGATGTTTTAGACTAGCTAAACCCAATACATCTTGAACATCCTTCCCATTTTCTTCAATAAATTCTTCCTCATATCTACATCTAGTGTATTGTGCTTTGTTCTGGTGTATGTGTATTGTGCAGCTGATAATGGCCAGTACGCCGCAGCACTAAGTGAGCTGATCAAGGAAGGTGTCCAGCTGATACCGTACGGGCGCCTGATAATGTGCGGGCCGGGCCGCACAGGCAAGAGCAGCTTCCTGCGATCCCTCCTGCGTCAAGCATTCATGTCAAAGGTCGATAGTACCATCGGTGTGGAGCTGGAGAAGGTGATATGCACGATCGAGAAGCAAGGGTTAAAGTATGTCTGGAAGCAAGCTGAAGATTCTTACCAGCAGCAGTTGGCCCTGACGCACAGAGCTGTTGGACAAGAACAAAGGAAGAAAGAGATAGTAGCAGCACTGAGACAACAAGGTGTGGAGATCCCAAAGAACACCAGGTCCACATCCTCCATGCCATCAACACCCATGACATCACCATCCGCTGTGATTGAGACTGAGCAAGCAGATGCAGCCAGTGTGTGTGAATCTGCTGTCAGCCAACAGGATGAAGCCACCCACACCGGGTACTCTGGTCAATCAGCTACCAGTTCATCTGACACCATGGTCTCTCAGAATGTTTCCACTGCATCCAAGCCGGAGGAGGTCTCAACCATGAGTGTAGAACAGGTAGCAACAGCAGAGCAAGATGTGCAGCAGCTACAGACGGAAATCAACTCAGCTACGCAGAAGTTTGAAGGCTTCATTGAAGATCTGAAGAAGGGCAAAACTGAAGTTTTCACTGCAGAGCATCTGAAGAACCTGACATTCATAGATGTCTGGGACTTTGCTGGTCAGAAGCTGTTTGCTGCGATCCAACACATGGTCCTGGCCTGTGATCGATGTGCATATGCTGTTGTATTTGATTCCTCAAAGAAGCTCCAGGACAGAGCGAAGCCGACGTTTGGTGTAGACGGCGAGGAACTGCCGCTTTCCAACAGCCTGGAGCAGACCAACTTCGACGTCATGGAGACATGGTTCAACGCTATCCACGAGGTCATTGGAGACAGCGACAACGTACCTGTGTTTGCCATTGGCACACATGTGGACAAGTTACCAAAGAAGCCAGAAGCAAGGAAGAAGGCAATTGAAGAGACTGAGCAGTATATCTGGGCCAATGCGGAGGGTAAAGCTTATGCTAACAACATCGACAAGGTGGTATTTGTGGACAACACACGAGCTGGCAAAGACCCGGAAGACCCAGCAGTTGTTCAACTACGGCAAGACATCATCCAGCAGCTGCAGCATCAGTTCAGCGTTCCTATTCCACTTCGTTGGCTTCCTGTAACCATCTCCATAGGGCACATTGCAAAATCATTTGAACGACCATGGGTATCGGTTGACGAGCTACGTCGCTTGGCTGTTGCTGTTGGTAGCATCTCCAGTGATGATCCTGAGTCAGATTTCCAGAAGATGGTGAAGTTCCACCATGATCTTGGTCATTTGCTTCACTTTATTCACAATGCCCGTCTTCGTGATCGTGTCATCATCGACATCCACTGGATTCTGAAAACCATGTCACTTCTCTTTTGTCCTGAACCGAAGAGTAAGCAGAGCAAGCGTCTTCGTCCACAGTACGACTTGCTGACACAGAATGGCATCCTCCTGGAAAGTCTTGCCATCCACCGCTGGTCACAGCACAATCGTATGACATCGCGCTACACGGCCACAGAAGAACAGCGTGATTTCCTGTTCGAGATGGGTGAGCACTTTGCACTGTTCTACAACACCAAGACAACTGTGAGCGTGCCTGGTCAGAGGAAGGAGGTGACGACTCGCAAGTTCTTTGTACCAGCTCTGGTGGAACGAGTTGCACGTCTTCAAGATGAAGCGAGCAAAGGCAAGCCATGCCCAGCAATGTACTTGTACAGTGGTGCAGATCGTTACTTTCCACAAACCCTGTTCTGGTGTGGTGTTGTGAGGTGTATGCAACGCTACAGTCCAAAGGTGGACCCAATCCTCTGTCACACGTCAGCACGTATTCTGGTGAAGGATCGCTTCTGGCTTGTCATGCAGTATTTCCAGCATGGCATTCGCCTGTCACTTGAGATTCCTGTCGCAGCTGGCACAGCTAAGTCTTCTACTAGCAATGCTGGTACTCGCACGGATGAGTCAGTTGGCTCTCCTGGCGTTGGTACTGCAGCAAGCAAGGATGAGTCGGCTGCAGTCAAGATTTGTCACGAGCTTCTAGCGTACCTGGAGTCGGAGCTTGACAAGCTGAAGGCATTCTCCCTGACTCACGTGAAGTTTTGCAGGGCTGTTCGCTGTCCATGCTCGTTCAGCCGAGATGCGTGTCGCAAACACAAGCAGAAGTCTTGTGTAGAGATTGGCTGTCAACACTTTGCTCCATTGGTGGAGGGATCGCGTCCCCGTTGTCCTAGTGGAGCACGTCCAGAAGTGGATATCAGTGATGTACGGCAATACTGGCCATGCTTTGCCGAAGACACACAGGTAAAATATAGGTCATATTCAGCTTTCCGAAATATATTTTCCCCATGCTTTGGGTGTATGGTCTGGCTCACTCGAGAGTATGTACAAGGCCAGGCCATGTTAGAATGGTGCAGCTGTTAGGACTGTGAGGGCAAGTTCTGATTTTCAGTTTCCCTTGGCTGGAAATGTTTCTGAATCTACCAACTCAAACACCAAGCACTCTGAACGCTAACCCGAACCAGTGGAGGCAATATTATACAGTACAGCATGCACTCGCTGGCTCAGGGTTTGCTGTTTCCATGACAACCACCTTGTGACGAGAGACACCGGCATGCATGTACACATTATTATTATGTTATGATTTTGTTGAACCGTGTCGACAAGTACATCAAACCGAAATCTTTGAGAAAAGATTTCCCCTGATTTCATTTCTCCATAGTGTAAAGCCGGGAACTTTCGGCTGTGTACTATTTTCGGTATTTCCCAAAATCATCGTTTCGGTAGAGCGAAAATTTCGGTAAACCAGTTTTCCATTTCCAAAAATGCATTTTGAACACTGTGTGGCATGGGATTGTTGAATTTTAGATCTAAGTTTATTTTAGGTAACAATTCCCTGTACTGAAGTTACCGAAAATAAATCTGCTCCTAAATTTTCCCTTTTCAGAGTAGTGCTTGATACCCGGAATGAGTACAAGTATATTTTGCTGCACTTGCAAGACAATAGCAATAGAAACATAAGGAGTTGATGTGGACAAATGCAATAGGGCTTGAACATGGTATACCACAACCAGGCCAGGGTCATGACAGCGCTGAATTTACGATCCAATTGTATCTAGTTTTGTATGGATCCATGCACATTTGAGTTGTTTCCTTCTCCGTAGGGTGACAAATCTGCCCATACTAACTGGACCGCTCCCAACCCCCCCCAGTAGTGGGGACCACTTGAACTACAGTAGTGGGGACCAACTTCTGGCACTGAATCCAATTCAGTACACCTGCACTTGACACAATGAGGGCCTACCTGTCAGATATGTACTTTGCTATGGCCGGAGTGGATCCCCCAGAAGTCCTTATCTGGTTATCTGTTGAGTTCTGACTTCATCATTTTTAATCCTGTGCAAGTGTATAAAAAGGAGGATGGGGGATTGGCTGGTGTAAATAATTCTATTTGTTTTCACGCCACCTTGCTGTGTTTCGTTGATTCTCTCCAGACCGCAGAGCTTGCTGATCCGGAGAAGCCAATGCCGGCAATGCCAATGACAGTTGTGGAGCCCGCAGTCAAGGACAGTGGTGAGATGATTTCAGTAAAGTGTTCAGTTTAAAATATACCCTGGAAAGTACAGTGCTGCTCAATGAAATCCAATCATGTGAATCAAGTATGTGCTGGGAGTTGTCCAATCCTAGACCTGCAAACCGTGACTGGTTTGTGACCTAGTGCAGTGCACTGACTACTTGAATAATACTTGACTCACTCGATCGGATTTCATTGAGCATTCACTGTGGAATACGGGAATGGTGTATAGTGTACGGATCACGCAGGGCAGGACACACAGGAATTGACCATAATGTCGGGTACGAAGGCAGACTATAAGTCTGGGATTGTTCCTATAGAAATGTGTGTCAGTGCTGGGCTTCTCTTCAAATCAGATCGGTATTTAAACCTGTTATTTCAAGTGTATGTCCTCAATAAAACCAGGCTTGCGTGCCGATACCTCACCTTGAAAATCAGGCTTGATTTCAAAACAGTCTTCTAAGTTCTATACAAGACAGCATAGCATGTACAGCGTCATTGGATCACAGGGTGATTGATGGGGAAAGGATACACCGGAAGTCTTTTGCACGGGGTCACTAGAATGAAGCATGCATGCAAGGGGGCGTGGCGTGTGTTCAGGGAGTCAAGTACGGAATTATGAATTTAACAATTTGAACTGTGTCATCGTGATCCAGATGAAATGCTGAAGCAGGAAAGATTACCATGTGAAATAAGCTCGGGTGCTGAGCCAATAGTACAATGTAAAATTATAATATTATTGTTAATACTCGATAGTCGAGGGAATGGGATAAGAGAAAAGTCTGAAGAAACAAATTACTGTCACCACCATGACTCGAACCAGGGACCTTCACTTGAGGCCAGCGATGCTCTAACCACTGAGTTATGATGTAGGTGTCGTCCCAGCAGAGACCGTTCAACACTTTCTTCAGACTTCAAAATTCACGCCTCCTGTGAAACTACATAGGCTGGTGGGACGCAGCCCTCACTGTACCCACACACTTAGCATTAATATCAGTACTTCAAGTACTTCAAGTACTTTAAGTACGTTAAGTAGTATTGCTGTAAATCTACCAATTTTCGGCCCATTCAAATTTCAGCCTCCCATTGCTGAAACTCATTTCGGTCGCATCAAATTTTCGGCCTGTGCTGCTGCCACCTGTATACACTGTCACACTGAACCTTGCAAAACAAAATTTTGACAAAACATGGCCAGGCCGAAAATAGCCAAAAATAAATAATCGCTGAATACTTGTTGACTTACAGTATTCAATTTATGGTATATACTACCAGAGGTGAAAGAAATTGATTAATTTTTTTTTTGAAGGATTGGGAGAACTTCAAATTTCAAGGAGCACTACAGTCGGGGAAGTGAACTGCCTGAAAAGAGAAAAAAGTGCCAGATTTCTTGTCATGGCTCGGCAATACTCTAACAATCTGAGCTATGGGAAAAGACCGAAGTGCCGTCAGTATGCATGGCACGTGTTGTGAGCTGCCTTTGGTGTGAAGAAAACTTGTCAATGCCTTCTAAGTTCACCCTGGTCCCATAGCTCAGATGATTAGAGCACTGCTCATGACAAGCAAGGTCCCGGATTCGAGTCCTTGTGGGTCTGGCATTTTTTCTCTTTTCAGGCAGTTCACTTCCCCGACTGATCCTTTAGATAGAATTTGCCGAATGTTTTTGTTCCCCTCTCTGTAAGGAATTGCGGGGAATTACAAATAATTTGAAGCGAATAACTATAAAGGCAATGTGCTGCAGGGACCAGAGGGAGAAGGTGAACAAATGTGTTGATCACATTTGATTAAATCGAACCCTTCGACAATGTCTACAATATCCAAAAAATGAGAAAGAAAATTATGGTGTTAGTCCTGGTGAGTGTGAGTAATGCCGCATGACGTCTCCCCTCTCCTTTGCTCTCATTTCTTCTTCTTCCTGCTTTTTTATAATCATTTTGTTCACCCTCCATGAGTTAATATCCTGTTAGAAACCTATGTTCCTTTATCATCCTGGCTGTTTGGAGCTGATGTAAAAAGTATGATTTGTTGTTCACCGAACCTTATTTGATCTGTTGGGCCAGTCATTCTGAGCTCCGCTAACGAGATCTTACAAGGTCTACTTGAAACAGCTAACTCTCCGGAGATCAAGCCGTATTGATTAGAGGCGATTTACACGACAGCAATGCATCCCGCTGGGAAGTGAAGCACGTGATCCCGAGAGCTTGCCGTGACCCAGGAAAAACGAAAGTCGAGTCACATTACAATACCTGTAGTACAAAACAGTCCACAGAATGCCACAACATGCATTCTCCCAACCCCCTAGCCCACTCACGGTACCGGGACCGTACAGGGATAGCTCACGGGATACGCTTGCGCCAAAATTTGAGTGCACGTGACTGAATCTCCATGGCAGCATCACGCACGGGATGAATCCTGCAGTCGTGTCAATGGCCTCTTATTATATGGATAAGGAGCATCTTTGCCTTGATCCAAGAGGGTGGTGGCATTCCTGCAGATGCGGAAAACTCGGTCTTTGGCCGAGTTTCACGCGAACCGTGAATTGTTTTTAAATTATATGGATTATTTGCATGCTGTGTGTGTGTGTGTTCTGGTGCAGGTGAACTGCTCCAAGGACAGTCTGTATCTGAGAGAGCATCAGCTTATCAACTGGCACTACAGAGACATCGAGTAGCAATCAAAAACGTCTCCCATATTGATGTGATTGATTGCTTTGAAAACTTGCGTGCTGAAGATCACATCAGCATTGAGTGCTTGAAGGACAGTCGAGCCACTGTCAAGTCAAGTGGAAGCAAGGAAGCCATCAGTCACCTGTGCACCGTCTTGGAAGATCTCTCCGACACTGCCATGTGCTACGTCGTGGAGGATATCCTGCCGTCGCAAGGTCTGTCACAGCTCGTGGAGACATTCCGTGTGTGTCCTGGTCCTGGAAAGTGTTCACTACATCGCAATGACCTGCATCCTGTATCAGTGTGTTCCAGTGACAAGACACTGTCCATGCAGACTAGTGTTGATGCCTCCCAGACTGGTAATGCCAAGAGTAGTCCACTTGAGACTGGGGTAAGAACTCTACTCTCTACAGTCTACTTAACTGCATGTTTGGTGATTGTACAGTGAAGAATACCTTATCAACCAGTGCAATAAGAAGCAGCAACACCTGTGTTTGGAGACCTATTGTACCGTGGCCTAGGTAATTAAATCAAAATACGTGTGCACACAGAACTGTGAAATTCTAGCGAATCCGGTTTTCTGCACACGGATGTACACGATGAGATTACCGAGAAGCCTTTTCTTAACATTAATAAAATTTAGGGATTCGTTGTTACTCCCTACGTGGGAGCTCGAGCTTTTCTCGCCGACTGAATTCTCACTTGACCAACTCACGACTACCATCCACAGCACACGAGAAGTCCATCACACCTTCCATTTGGTGAACCTGTAAGAAAGCACCCTCCCTGCTCAATACACGGTGTTTCGGGGGAGTCACCCCTCATCAGTTGAGCTTGAGTAGGCTAATGAAATTCGTGCTCCGAGAGTTCTGCATTACGCAGTGATCTCTGAACCTAAACTTCACTAGGGATACCAATTTACATTTTTTTTTATTTATTCAACATCTCCTGGCCCGTCCGAAGACTGCCAATAAACATGAGAGGTCAGGTGATAGCCAACCACGGCAAGCTAAAAGGGAGAAAAAGAAAGATGCTGGCAGAGAGGGAAAGGAGATAGGGAGAGAAAA